AAGGTTTTACACCGAAATCCTTTCGCAAAATTTTCCACGAAGTGGAGTAAGAGAGGCCCAATTGCTGCGAACGGCGGCGAATCGACATTTCACGGTCATCACGAACACTGGCGGAAACAGCCGCAATATTTTCTTCGGTCCTCACTCTACGAATGCATGTTGGAGGTTTAATATCCAATAATGTAAACTGGGTTCGAAATTTAGTCACAAGCTTCCGAATAGCTTCCTCAGTAGGCCGACGAAACTGCCCATAAATCGGAAGAAGTGCACGATGCACTTTTTTCACCGAGCGTGAATTTTAATAATAAAATTCAATAATTTGCAAGCGTTTTCATTCGTAAGCCGATTCATGGTTAAATTATAAACCAAACTGAACAAGTTTGACAATGACACAAGACACGATTCATGCGTGATCTGTCAAAAACAATGTTGCCAAAAAGGTACCAAAAAGTCACTCATTACAAACCAATAAGCGTGATGTAGTTCTTCTTGGCCAACGAAGCAAGACGATATTAGTGGAGGAGAAAAGAGACAAAAATAAAGAAAAATGAAGGAAAGAGGACGAAATTTCAATATTTTTCTATTCGAACTTCGCAGACTCTATCCAGATCACTCTATTAAGACGGTTGATTATTAGAGTCTTCGATGGAATGATGCTCTTTCAACTTCGTCAGATCGTCAGATCAGGTCGGTTTGCCGCACTGAGGCAGAAATCTTCGCCAGGTAAATGCAGATGACTGTCATTATTGGCTCATTGCCAATGATCAGTTACCCCACGGTGTAAGGGGTGGTTATTGGTTGATATTGCTGATACGCCCTCTCGAATGTTTAGGGGCTTCGGGGGCATGTCCCAACCAGCTTAACCTTTGGGAAAAAATGATAATAGCTGAAGGCGTACGTTCACCTATTTGTTTCATATAGATAAGCTTGAACTCTGGAAAAATGGACGGAAGGGCCAAAGCATGCTATTGCAGCATCTGAATGCCGCAGAGACGTTTACTCACCTAGGGATGTCACAACAACTCTTACAAGAGGTAACCTCATTGAAGAACTATCCGCGGCAAGTATCAGCACAAACTCCCTAGTTATTGGAACTGTTCGGGAAGAACAAAGTTGTTGCTATGGAAGCTTGCCGCTCCATTTTACTCTACTCATTTGAGGCAATGAAATGGACTAGGAAGGAGCTGCATCAACTCAAAGTAAAGCCCCGAAAAATTAAGGATTTCCATAAGAGGTTGTATCCTAAGTGAATGGAAGTGAGTGAAGCCCCTTTTCTGCAGGGTTCGCGACCATGGGAGAGCAAGAATTGGAGCACTTTTCTTCATGGCAACTGCTCCAGCGGTTGGTGCATTTGGTTTAATTTTCGACTCTGAACGAGGTGATCACCGGATTGGAACATATTCAGCAAAAAGACCAAATCAAAGCCGCAGAGATAACTGGTCCTGAGGCAACACAAGAATGAAATGATATACGGGGTCTTCTTCAACAAACTTAGGAGACCTCGGCTTATCAAAACACCAGATTTTTGCTGACATTCAATCGTAGGAGTTGGGTTTCATTATTATGATTTTTATATTTCCCTAATAACATCAATTTTGTTTTATTTATGTTCACCTGTAGTAGATTTGCAGAGCAATATCTATAGACCCTTTCAAGACTTAGTGTTTATAGTATCAACACACTGATGTATATCTTCACTACTAAGTACCGTAGTTTATCGTAGGCAAATAAGTGAATTTTTCATTAAAATGATGGATGTAGCCGTTACTGCGTGGTAGGAAATCATAATGAAGAAAGGAGAATTGAAACTTTCTATGCCATCATCAGGTATTATTCACTAAAAGATGATTATTACAATGAAAGGATTTAATTTTGAAATATTATGTACGAAAATAAAGGTAGCTATAGAGATTTAAAGTAAGATCACTTTAATTTGTTTGCCTTTTGTCTCTCTCTCTTTTCCTCTCTTTTGTGGGACACGTTGTTCAATTAGTAAAGTTGCATGAGTGAAGGAGTATTTCCAGATAAATTAAAAATTAGTAAGGTCATTCCAGTTTTTAAAAAAGCTGACAAGAATATCATTGAAAATCATCGATCCAAGTCTATTGTGCCGATATTTGGTAAACTTTTTGAAATATCAATCAAAAACAGGTTATATTTCTATTTTGAAAATAACAATCCCTTGAATCCTGATCACTATGGTTTCTGTAAGTCTTGCTCTATTGTTCAAGCAGTTGTTCGTGTGGTGAGAAATATTGTCGACGGCTTTGAGCATGGTTAGCATAGCGCTGTAACTCTGTGTGACTTGAGTAAGACATTCGACTGTGTCTCTCACCACTTACTACTTCATAAAATGAATGAATATGAGGTTAGAGGTGTGGCACTCTCTCTCTCTCTTCTCACATAGTATTTACAAAATCGAAAGCAATATGTCGACCGAGGAGACACTAGAACGTCTAATTTAGAGCCTATACTAAACGGTATTCCGCAAGGATCTGTTATGGGACCTCTCCTATTTTATTATTTATTAATGACCTTTTCTTACAAGTTCTGCCCCATAAATGTGTTGTTTATGCCTATTGTCTACTTAGACAAAAATTGCCAAAAATTATTGAAAATCTCAAAACTTGCTGAAAACGAAGCTGAAAAATAGTTCAATGCGAATATTGTCAAACCTAATATGGGGAAAACCCAGAGGCTGATATTTTCTTCCAATAACATGCTTTTGGAAGGTAAAACAGCCCAATTACTTGGTATAACTTTGGACGACTCCTAAATTGGACATGTCATATTGATGAATTAAATACGAAATTATACAAATATCTGTTTTGTGGAGGCAATTGAGAGAATTTGTTTCTATTGACACTCTTCTTGTTGTCTACTATGCCTTTTTCCATTCGTTTATTAGTTACGGGACACTTCTTTGGGGTGATTCTACTTCTGCTGGAAAGATAATTGTAACACAAAAAAAAAAGCAAAAAGGATAATTTCTAATGCGGAATATCGGGACACATGTCGTCCATTGTTCAAAAAATTGGGAATCATGACTCTTCCATCGATTTTCATTTTTCAGTCACTGCTAGAGGTACACTTTCATAACTATGAAACACGTGGCGCTAATCTTATACGACCTGCTAAATTCAATCTACAGAAATCTTCCAAGAAATCCTTAGATGTTAATCTATACAATATTTTGCCAACTACAGTCAAGAACTTATCACAGACACGTTTTAAAAAGGGCATAAAAAAGTTTCTCATTGATGAAGGTATTTATAGTATAGAGCAGGGGTGTCCAAACTTTGAAGCCTTCGGGCCATAATGATTTTTTCAGTTTGTTCCAAGGGCCAATTTCTGCCCTTAACTATATTTCTAGACTAGGATAGTCGCAAAGTGCCTGACCTAAGCAAACTCACGCTTTTTTTGCATTTCAATTATTATTCTGTATTGTGACACTTAACGACATCTAGTGGCGAGTAGTGGTACTATGTACTATCTTTTTCAGCTACCCGCTAGGTGGCATTATGTAGAAAATGATGGTGGTTCAAAACCATTAGTCTTACATTGTATCATTCATCAACAGTCATTGTGCGGAAAATGTTTGGATATGTCTGTTCTAAAACCGTCATATCAGTTGTTAACTTAATCAGATCCACTGGGCTGAATCACCGACAATAGAAATTATTGATTTACGGTGCAGTGACATGCTTAAGAACAAATATCAAAATTCATCTTTGTTGGAATTTTATAAGAGTCTTCCACTGGAACAAATTGATAATTTGCATAAATTTTCTCGTGGGTTTTCTGTTTTTAGTACTACTTACTTGTGTGAGAAAACGTTTTCCAAGATGAAGTACACAAAGAATGTTTACAGATCTCAATTAACCGATGAGCATCTTAAATCTCTTTTGATAATTGGTACAAGTAAAATTGATCCACAACTACAAAGTATTGTCGGTGGAAAATCACAATTACATAAATCTCATTAGTGTTTTTGTTTTACTGTGATTCATTTCAATTATTTGTTAGTTATTAATATGCTTAAACTTAGTTACTTAAGTAAAGTTTTCTTTGTCATCATTTCTGTCGTTAAGTTTTACCTTGCAAGTAAATAAAACCGAGTAATTATCATTCTGTGTTTTCTTCTTCAACTTATCACAGTAATAGTAACAATAATTAGGTAATCATTGGCTGTCGCGGGCCGGATTTGGTCCGCGGGCCGTAGTTTGGAGACCCCTGGTACAGAGTATAGATGAATATATGGCTGCTTCCATGGTAATGCCCGGATTTATCTTTTAAGCGAAAGTGCGTGTAATAATATCTTTCAAAATTTATTATATTTTGTTATACAGTGCTGCTTGTAATAATGTATTTAAAAAAAATTATGGTCCCCCTTTTGGGTGCCTTGTGTTTTCGTTATACTGTAGTGTTAATGTTTTTTATTTTATTTAGATATTTTTCAATTTTAAATGTTTGACTTATCACCTGACTTTCTACAAATGTTCATTACATATACATAGATAAATAAACTATCTATCTATCTAAACCAACTTCGATTAATTACTGTATTTCTGTCTATTCTGTCGCTAATTTGTAAAGAAAACGTAACGACAAGCATATATATTAAATGTGTTGAATACTGAGTAGAATATCCATAATATACAAACGATAAAAATAAAAAATAAAAATACAACCACTATAATAAAATGATAATTTCTAATTAATCCATCGGATTATTTCGTTACTGATCGATTTTTTGGTGTATGAGCATGAACTAGAATGAAACAAAAAGATGAGCGAAATTCAAAACTTTTCCTGGGCTATTCAACAGCCACAGCTGGTTAAATTATCTACGTGTTTACCTGGAAACGGTCTACCGTTCACGTTAGACATGACGCCCGTTCTTATCAGTGCTAAACGACTTTCAATAAAGTAACGCTAGAGAACGGGACCACCATTTTAAAAGCCAAACTAGCAATTACTCAATAAAACAACAAACGTACCCTGGAGAAAGCCGCGTTTCTTGCCGAATTTCCCGATCGCCATCTTTTGCAGGGATAAATGTTGAAGTACAGCTTCGTATCTAATTTGGGATCCATGCCGAACGATCGACTAAGAACTCTCGAACATCTTTTCACTGGGTCACTGTTTGATCACAACGCGAAATATGCCATATTTCGTTCAAGACCAGAAATCGGCATTCTGAAGAGCGTAACCCGAGGTTATCGTACTTTGACACATGCTGCTGGCTTCCTTCAGATAACTCTCCAACCCAATAAATGTTCGGTGGCCACGACATAAGTTGCGATACTTTCGGGCAAACGAAACCGAATCGGGCGGTAGAGGGAAGTCTGCTAGGCCGGCTCTAACTATGCTGGTCGAGGAATACATAATATTCAATTGTTGTAGTCGTTTTGCATTTATATGGCATTAGGCGTCGCAAGGGGACCGCCGTGCCGGTCCAGGTGAATTTACAAACCCTGCTACTTGCAAAAGAGTCGAATCGTTAGAGATCTCTAGGAAGGCAAACAAACTTTAATTGTTTGAAGGTGGACATATGCAAGACAACTTAATTTATAAGTAGTAGGAAACTTGAGAAGTTGAATGTATGATCAATAACTAATGACAGCATCCATACAACATTTAGTTGCCTAACTTAACCACAGAATATTGACTTAGACCGTGACTCAACCTGTTGTCGGGTCAAGCTTCACTTTATTTCTATTTTGTCTATCGTCAATCAAGTTATCAGTTGCGCTTATCCTTACAATTTCAGAAGTTTTGGCACTAATGCAGATTTTTTTTACCAACCTGTTTAGAACGCCCTTCAACGGTCATGATCTTGATTCGTGTCTCTATTTCTAATAATTCAAAAGATTCAACCATCTGGAGTGAAGCTATAGCTTGAACTAACATCTACATCTTGAATTGAAATAATCTTTTTCATCGTAACAACCCATAAAAAGTCAAGGAACAGTTGTAAAGTAATTCCGATTCGTGACTCCTGTCAGTAGGTGTGAGCCACAATAAACCCTTGCGGGTTGCGGTAGAGGGTCGAATGGACCCACTCACTTTGGACCCAACCTGTCAGTAGTTTGATATAGGTTATGTCGCAACTTTTTGAAATGAAGCGACAAATTACATTTGAAAAAGCTGTAGAAATGATGGCTCTTATTGAGGTTACGAAAGTAAAATATATGCCGTCTGTTGGGACGGAGGTTTGACGGACTTTGTTGAAATTCATTTCCATTTATGAGCCATTGTTTACGTTAGGACGGGCGTTGGTGAAATACATTACCATTTATGAGCCAATTCAGGCGAGCGAAGTCGAGCCAATGTGACACTCGCATGTGGTTCATTGACATTCGATTCAACGTGCGGCAATTTATGCGTAAGGACGGGCGTTGTTGAGATACATTGCCTTTAATGAGCCAAATCAGGCGAGCAAAGTCGAGCGTAAGTGAAACTCGCCTGTGTTGTAAGGAAATGCAATTCAACTCGCCGCAATTAATGCGTTAGGCCGGTCGTTGGTGCCAATTCAGGCGAGTTAAGTCAGGCGTATGTGAGACTCGTCTCTGTATTGTATGGACATACAATTCAACTCGCCGCAATTTATGCGTTAGGACGGGCGTTGGTGAAATACATTACCATTTATGCGCCAATTTAGCGAGCGAAGTCGGGCGTATGTGACACTCGTCTGTGTTGTATGGACGTATAAATCAACTCGCCGCAATTTATGCATTGGGACGGGTGTTATTGAAATACATTGCCATTTATGAGCCAATTCAGGCGAGTGAAGTTGAATTTTATATGGAGCTTCGTAACTTGGGGCTTTGTTCACGAGATGGTGCTGTCACTAGTTGACAATCTTTCTTTCAGGCGAAGGTTTCATACATGCAGTGAAGCCGCCTCAAAATAATTCGATTCCCACCCAAGCATACTGGTGTTTGTGTCGGATCATTCCTGCAATGATGAAAGGTAATACGTCGAAACCGGTCTGTAGTTGATCCACTCGACTGATTTCAGCATGGTCCTACTGCTGGATGAACGAGAAACATCTATAAGACTAACCTCTGTGAGGATATAGTTCAGTGTCCAGCGTAGTATTAGCCGGGGAAGTAGTTGTTTTCCGGCAGACATTCACCAGAACCTAAAATGTAGGTACTTTGGGAGATATAAACGTTTCGAAATATTTATCTTCTTCAATCGTTATAGTCGTTTGGCATTAAGTGGCATTGGGTGTTGCAAAGGATCCGCCGTGACAGTCCAGATGAATTTACAAGTTCCGCTAGATGTGAAAAAGTTGTCAAATCGGATCCTATTTCGAAAAATTACTCCAAATAGAAAAAAATCGAACTTATATTGTCTAAAAAGTCTATTAGAAGAAAAATGGATTGGAAATAGGCCCTGCTACTACCAGAAGACGATTGTGGATGCTAACAATCTACTATTTCACATCGTGAAATACATACACGGGCAAGCCCAATTCAGATATAAGTAGTACAGTACTATGTAGTACTTGATGCAATACAGTGGATTAAAAATAAATTATATATAAAAATAATACAATTTCAAAGTAAGATGTGTTCGATGAAAGCGAAGAATTTGGCATATGGATGCTTTCAAACACATACCATTTAGCGACCACCAGTTAGATAGGCAATCTATATCGTTTTGTAGACACCATGTATCAGCTTCACTTTTAATTATTTCGAAACATTTCGAATCGTCGGCAAATAGCAAAGCTTCGCTTTCGTGGAAACAGCTGATTGGATCGTTGATAAAATGGTTAAACAAAAGTGGTCTCAAATGTGAACCTTGTGGAACACCCGTTGTAACTGCGATGTTATGAGAATAGTAATGATTAACTGTAACAGTTTGGGTTCTTTCCGTAAGATAGCTCTTGAGCCACTGCTATATTTTTGCATCAACCTTTAGACAGAGCATCAGACAAATAAATCAACGTAGGTAATCAGACCCAGTTTAGCTGACTTTTTGGATGTAAATCCTAATTGTTGGGTCCCTATAATTGGGGAGCAGTTTTGTTCTTTATTTTTTGTGTTTTTCCATTATTTTTTAATTGTTCTTATATTATTGTTATTTCACTTACGAATGCGCCATCTATGGGATCGAATGATAAATGAGGCTCTACGAGTTTACTGTTTCATTTTTCCTCTACTTCTGCAGTAATCTTTGGTGTGGTTTCCTGAGGAAGATGCGATGCTGCTTCAGCAACATTTCTATCATACTCGTCCCAAGAGAGGTTGTTGATGACTGCTTGGCATAGATAATGATAACTCAGGCATCATGGCAACAAAGAAGAAATATGATGTGAGTGCATGTTAATAGCGAAAATGATGTTCTATTTTAAAAGGATTAAGTCATAGGAGGAATGGAGCTAGCTGTTGGAACTTGATCAAAAATGATTGTACTCCAAGTTTTAATGGATTCGAGATCAGAACAGTGTTAGTGAATTTTAATATCGACTGATCTATGCTCAGTGCTTATTCAAATTCTGATCATTGCTTGCGAAATAACTTCCTGCTCCAATCGATAATGACCTAGGAATACAATTACTATTATACTTCCCTAATTTCTTTGAAGACCCATGTTTTCATTAACTAGGTATTGAAGGAACATTTATAGGTGTACGAAAGCGGTTCATACACCATCCTACTAATTCTTGATTCAAGGAAAAATTGAGTCTTTAGAGTATATAAAGGAAATGGGTCAAGATCGATTAAATGAGTAACCAGTGCTCTACATCTGGAATATGTATTCAATTTTTGTTGCTCTCCTGGAACAAAACCTCACTTGGTTTCAAAAAGTATTCAACATCGATAGGTGGTGTAGTTACCTTATGAGTTAGGCGTCCGAGCTTAATTTTCTTTATTCTTTCGTCAAAGCCTTCGCGAATTAAAATTGATCAAATAAAACTGAGCAGCATTCGCAAAAATCTACCGAGACCCTTCCAAAAACCTCACTTAGCCATGCGACAAAAAGCTATATCTCAACAATTCTCTCACCAGATTATCCGAAGCCCTTCTGGAATCGCATTTTTCCGGATCTTCGTCGTCGTCTCTGCTCTCGGCCTGCCCCATGGCCCCGAAGGCGGCTCATCAATGGGGCCGGGGCCGCGCGTATGCAACCACCGTCACTTCGCCGCCAGAGTTGCGAAACTGAGAACTGGGGCTGCTCGGACCGTCGTCGAATCAGAGTCGCGTTGCGCCATGCCGTTCCCGCCCGGGGGGGATAAACAGGCCGCAGGGTGCGAGCGACGCCAACGTGACGGTCTGGCAGGACCGGAGCCGGTGAAGCACGCGATGTGGGCCTCTTTGGGGTCTTGAGGTTTTTGTTGCTTGACTCCCACAACATATAGTTCATAACGAGGGCAAAGGGAGTGGGAGGGCAGCTGACCCCTTTCTCTAGATTGTATAAAAACGTAGCCATAAGCAAGGCAACCGAAATCTTGAATCCAATCACTTTGCAAACGGATTTCTCCAGTGAGCGGAAACAGGTTAACCTAGCTATCATCAATGTTTTCTGCATTACATCTTGGAGGGGAAAATACTAAGAGCTGATTACTGTTGGATCACCGATGGAACAAAAACACCTTAAGGTTTTGGTGCAGGTGTATACAGCCACAAATCCAGAAAATCTATATACCTAATTGATTTATATGTGGAGATATAAATATTCTCGGAAAGCACCTGGCTCTCACTAAAAAACGTTCAAGGTGGTAGTAAACTGATAATAGGAAGACGTATCAAATTTCTTGTGGTCTGGATTCTTGACCACACTGGTTTGAGAGGAAATGAAGCTGCTGACTTCTTCGCAAGGGAGGATGCTGCAAAAAGTCTCATCAGTCCAGAACCTGTCATTAGTATCGCTTGAGGTTTTGACAAACAAATGAAGAATACCTGAACTTCAAGACGCATGTCAAACTTCTGGCAGAATCTAAGAGAATTGGTTCATTCTAAGGCATTTATATATCCATAGAAATCTATCACAAAATGATTATTGGAGTCCCATAAAAGTCCCTAGTGATATAAAAATAAATGTGAAGACTACACCAATCGCGGCAATGGAATCAATTACTGGTCTGACCCCCCTGGAACTGTACGTTAAGGATTAAGGAGGTTGCGTTAATGGTCATATTACGATTGCGCACGGCTGGTGTAAACCTCGAAGTAGGAAGGGGTCAATTGAAGCTAAGCCTATGGCGAGAAGCGCTTGCTGCGCAACCTCTGCTGCAGGCAATCAGTAATGCAATTGAACCCAGGTTAGTGTTTAATAAACCCTACAAAATACAAAACAGAACACTGAGTCAGATGCTACAAATGCAATACGCATATATGCAGACGGCTCAAAAACCAAAAAAAGGATCAGGATGTGGAGTGTACTTCAGATCACTAAGCCTAAGGATTAAGTGGGGAGTGGGAAAAAATACTAGCGTAGTCCAAACAGAACTGGCTGGTATCTCAATCGCCACAGAAGAAATAACCAGGAAAGGAATTTCTGACAAAAACATAACAATCTGCACTGATAGCAGACACGCCCTATTAGCCTTGAACAGACAACGTGTTACCTCAGGGCTAGTACTAGACTGCCACCAAGATTTGGCCAAAGCCTCGGTAGATAATAACATTATCCTGAGGTGGGTTAAAGGGCACGACAGGAGTAAAGGTAATCGCATTGCCGACTCTTTAGCCAAGGAAGCGGCTGGACTAAGAATATTAGGACCTAGTGGCACCTACGGTCTGATGGCTTCGACAATTACGGAACTAGTCAAACGTCACACCCATGCTCAATCTCTAAAGAGATGGGATGAAATCAAAGAATGGAATTTTGCCAGGTTCACCCTGGGCGACCTTGGGAAGCTGGCGTCGAAGAAATATCTGCCGATGACCAGGAAAAATCTAAGCTTAACAGTAGGATTTCATACTGGCCACTGTCAACTAAGGAAACACCTCCACAATATGGGGCTAGTGGACACAACTCTATGCAGGATGTGTAAACAGGAAGATAAAACTGTCAGGCATGTCTTATGCGAGTGTCCGGAGTTATCGTCAATAAGAGTGTGTGTTAGGCGAGTCTTGGCTACACCTGCCGATATAAAGGAGAGGCTAGTGACCTGTTTACCTTCCTGGAAAGGACAGGATGGACGATGACCTAGGAGGACAACTCCTTCTGAGGATGTACAATGTGGCCTACGTGCTGTAGGCCTACACCTAAGTCTACTTGGGAAGTATCTATTTTTACAACTACTTCAAAGGATCTAGGGAAGGGTCGTATTTGCTGGTGAGTAGACACAAAGAGGTTAGCAGTTTCCTTGACGAGGTTTTAGGTTCCAGGTTTTTTTAAATTATAGACAGCATGGACTGAAATGTTGAAGTCAACGAAGTGCTGAATATTCATTTCATATCAAATACTTTTGACAGGACTGTTTTCCTGGCACTGTAGGCAGTTTTGTAGGCCCTAGATTCCTAAACGGTGATCCGCGGAACCCTGGGGTTCCGTAGAAGACTCACGAGGGGTTTCGCGCTCTCCGTCGGAGATCTAAATACCCAGCAATTGTTGAACAATGTATTTCAGTTCTGCTTTCATTGGTGACATCAAGTAGTTCCTTCATTACAATGATTATTTTTCACTTATAATTTTTTGTTTCTTTGAATCGTAACATGAAAACATTCAAACTTCTATGTGAACACATTAGTTATCGAAATAGCCAGCTAGGGTTTCGTCAAAAAATGTTGGCTCGATTATGGTTCCGTGGACAAATGAAATTGGGAACCCCTGTTGTAGGCTATAAGTATCTCAGCATAAATTTATTTCATGTGTTTTTGAATCATATGAAACAATAAATAAATTTCTCAAAAGCCGTAGTAGTAGCGAAAACTTCTCAGATAATAAAAACTGGTACACCGCCTTCGACGGCTGAAACTCGTTTTTCTCTTCAGGAAAATAATATATGGTATATTTTTTCAGAATATCGATGGTTTAGTTTAAATGTTCCATATTTTGATAGAGCAAATGAATTAGGGCAACTGGCGATTTTTTACAATTGTCAATATGCAAAACAAAGATTTGCTCAACTATCTTAAAACTATTCGAAAGTGCTAGCCCGTCTCTGTAAAAAGGAATTTCAAAAGGGTGAAGAGAAGCCAGATCGTTGAAAGATTTCGTAAAAACAAATGGGTGCGATGACGAAGTGATTAAAAAGACAGCAGATTCAGTCAAGGAACGAATAAATTCGAGTAGATTATTTTCACAACTTCAGTTTGTCGTAGTTGTATTGTTAACAAAAGTAAAACAATTTTGTCTGCTGTCCAATGTTTAACGAACACAGATTTTTCCTTTTGCTTGGTAATCACACGAGTAATTATTCGATTGCGAACGTAATTATATCAATGTTAAATTTTTTTTGAATTTTCATCGCAGGTAATTTTGGCCAGTTCAGCACTGGAACATATGCCACGTACCTGGTTAGGGGCAGGTGACCTAAACAATTATGTGCCAATTTCAATTGGAAGGGATTTCTGTGAATAACGAATTGTAACGTATTTTCCACTGAATGTCACGGACAGAAAAACCAACGAATGCCTCTTATATGCTCCAGTTGATATTGCTCAGCAATTTTCCGAGATTTCGGTGATGAGAATGAGTTGATTTTTTTATGGACTCTTGACGTAATTTTACGTTCCCGGCAGATGAATCTCGAATGTTGAAAAAATATCTAGTATCGGTTCTACGTTAACTGAAATAGCGACAAGTTATCGAAATTTTTCACGGCACTTTCCCATAAGTCAAGGATGACTATACAGTGTGACAAAGATTCATGGAATACTTCAATTATCTTCTAATTTTTCCAGTTCTTTTTCATCTAGAACATGTTTAATAAAAGTCTGAATCTTCCCAAAATGACAACTTTGTTTGTTTGAAACTGACATGAATTCGGAAACTGAAATTTGTTTTCTTTACTGGAAATAATGACCTGAATTCATAAACAACATTTTCCCGTATTTTCCTGAAATGTTTTATTACATACCATCGAAATTACAATCCATAACCCGGCCACTTCAGAATCTAAAAGTCACCCAACAATCATATGACTACAATACGGAAAGTGTAAATATTTGTTAATAAAGCACCCGTGTTGTTTACAGTTTTTATTAACGTAAATTAGGTGTGTATCTTGTAAAATCGCAACGAGTCAGTGTTACATGTGACACGAGGTGAATATTATCAGAAATGGTGCGTGCTTGGTTCATAGACGAGGATCCAAAGAATCCGACCGAAGAACATCATAGGATTCCACCGAAATTCATCGGCTTGGAGGAGATTTATAAAACCACAGGCGTTGAATATTTCCAGGTGAGTAAAAGCACTTTGTATATATTTTCCTTTAACTTGAACTATCACAAGACCTGTTGGCAGGTCGATTTAAGAGTACTATTTCTGGTTTTCATGTCAATTTTTTAGAACTATTCAAGTTCTCTCAAAATGACTTTCATTGCATGGCAACCCAAGGATAATTTGATTTTCAAACATTTAAAAAATATTCAATTTGATGCTCAAATTTCAATCCTTTGTCAACGAAGAGTCCTAGAAACTTAATACAATCTGCATGATCAATGATTTCATTCTGCAAGGGCATCCAGTATGTAATCCTATTCGTTTTAATGACGTTGAAAGCTGGAAGGTTCGGATCACACCACGTCCTGATAATTATATTTCTAAATGTTTTCTCCTTCAGGTTGGTGGCTAATCCATTTAGCCTCAAAGTTGTGGTATCGTTCAAAAAAAAAAAAAGAGAAGGGTTACCTGGCATATCAATATTCAATACGTCATTCACATACTTGTGAAAGAGAATCGGTCCCAAAAGGGTACCCTGCGGTACACTTGAATCAACTTATAATTTACTAGGTGTCTCATTTGTTCGTATCATCTGACTTCGCCCTTAGATGTGACTCAGACCGCTCATAAGTTTTTTCTATGCATAAATAACGATGCAGCTCATGTAAAAGTAATTTGTGGTCCACACAATCGAATGGTTTCGTAAAATTCCAGAAAAACTGTCGCAACCACATCCCCCAAGTTTTGAATACACTTCATAAAGAAAAGGAAAAAATGGTCAGGGGTGTTTTTCTTGTTTTGAGAGAGGCTGTAAAGTTGATAGTAATTTGGTTTTCAGATCGATCCCCATAACTATAAACTGGATGGAACTCTGAGGAAATTAATAGATGAAAGGGACAATAGAGGCCAGCAAATTTTGGAAAATTTGGACGCCAATGACTTGCATACCATGTATATCGAACATTATCACACTTATGAGGAGTTCCGGCTAGTATTAGAAGGTTGCTGTTACTATGACATTCGAGACAAATTCGATGAGTGGATTCGAATGGAACTTTTACCTGGAGATCTCATAATTATTCCGGGTGGATGTTACCATCGATTCACTGTGGATAAGCAGGTAAGAAACAACTTTTTCGGGATTGGTAGATTAGAAATGAAACGTTAATAAGTATTATTGTTTTATTTCTAGAAAATATTCAAAGGAGTCAGAATTCTGAAAGATGGGGTATATCAAGCTCACGTCCGGCCAAGTGAAAAACTCAACTGTAGAAAGGATTATGTTAAGAAATTGTATAACGGAGCTTTTGAACAGGAGCCACGTGATCAAATTGAGACAGGGATGAAAGTTTGAGCTCAACATGGTGGTATGATAGGAACATATTTTACTTACCTTTTATATTTATTGATACAAATTATATGAAATATTTCAATAAACCAACTTCACTAAAAATACATTCATTTTTTTAAAATCAGCATTAGGTATCTGATAAACACAGTACTTTTGCACAATTGATGATGAATGAAGGCAATGACATCTGTTATGAAATTAACTTCTCTATGATTGACAGAAGGATCAATCCTCGAATATAAAAGATAAACGAGGCTCTTGAAACCAATCCGTCGAACGAGATTCATCCTGTCTTTCACTGCAAGGCAACCAGATGAAACCGAAGCCCAAAAACAAAGCATTCATAATCCACCACCAGACATAAGTGTTTCGACACGCCCCCCAAGTCTCATCAGTGGTCCTCAATGGACAAGCCGTTCGGCAATGGATTCCCTTGAGCAGCTACGTTTTTCCTTTGAGGGAAGTTCAGTTTAGCAATGCATTCGTGTTTCAGCCAGCACCATCGATGGTGCGGTTAGGAACGATCCCCTTGGGGAACCGGGCGAAACCTCTGGTAATTCGGGGCTCTGCCAGAAGTGACCAACTCTTCCCTTGCTACTTGTTGTAAAACACATATATGAAACAAACAAATAGACTGAAGCTGGACATAGCAGATCACCTCGTGATGTAATACAAAGGCGGCGCATTTGCGGCGCCGAGGCCAAAAGGAGGAAGAGAGCGAAAGAGGTAGGAGTGGATCATTGAACAAATCCCAATAATTTGAGTAATTTAGATATACTTATGATGCACTGTTCGGAACTTTTGGTGCAGTATTGAATATTACTAGAGTTTTTCCCCAACACCAAATCGTTATTTCTAACACCTTGACGCGTGTTTCGACCACCAAGTGATCATCTTCAAAGAGGAAGATAAAACTAGTTCACATCACTGTGGACAGCACAAACGTGCTGGGTTGAATTTTTTACTGCAACGTCTTTTGACTTTCCCTCTAACACATGATAGGTTCACAAAAAAAAGACGTACAATACAGGAAATAGCAGCCACTAACGGTTTTTCGAGGGGTATTGTAGATGACATAATGAGGAAGAAGAAGTTTAGGTTAAGAATGAACGAAATCTCGACTTTCAGAAAGGACAAAAACCAAGATTAATACCACCACCAGTTCCATACCACCACCAGTTCCATACCACCAATGTCACGGAACTTTGGAAATATTTTCAAGGAACTAGGTATGAAGGTGGTTTTTAAAACAAGTCATACATTACAGAGCCTTTTGGGAAGTCCAAAAGACAAAGTCGAGAATTCGGAAAAGTCTGTAACAGTTCAGTGTAACAGTTCATCATGAAAGTATCTACAACCCTGTAAAGTTTAAATAATAGCTGTGGCGTATGACATCCGACACACTGTTTACAAAAAGAAGAGTATTTGGCCTATATGCGATCCTTGAGGGACACCGGACGTTACAGGAATTTGTGATGATATGGACCAGCATATTTAACATAAATGAATTATATTATCCAAATAACTCTTTATCGATTTTGACATGTTACCGTTGATGCCCAATGCTAGGAGCTTAGCCATGAGAAGATTTTGATTAACCCTGTCAAAGGCTTTAGAGAAATCAGTATAAATATAGTCAATTTGGTGTTTTTCCGTTAGGTTATTCAAATGCTGATAAAGCAATAAATTCGTAGTGGTGGATCTACCAGATATGAAGCCATGTTGGCTTGAACTTTTAAAGTTAATTTCTTTAGATTTGTTGACAAGCATAGCCCGCTGACTAATAAGAAAGTTTTTCTTCCTTATTCAGAGGAATCGGGCAAATTACGGATATGCAGTTGATTAGTACCTCGTCCACTAGATGGAGTGACATTTTGTTGTTTCGCTCCAACTTAGGAAGAGGAATAAAATACTCTGAAAGAATTCCGATTTTCAATTATGGAATATCATTGACTTTAGGTCGATGATGGTCACTATCTTGCACTGATGAGTGGCTAATGAGCCCGAAACCAGTCTGCAAGTGTGCCCGTTCCAAAATTATTGAAGGTCGACTCTTTCAGTTGTATTGCCAATTGCATATGCAGGAAATTTTCTGTGAAGATTCCTGCACTGACGCCTGTAGGATATAATCCAACGCCCTTTGTGGTATTAGCCAGGGGAGTAGTTATTTTCTGATAGGCGTCAGTCCATTTAACCTACTGTGTAGGTATATTCGAGACTGGCTTGAACATTTTGTATTGAATGCCAGTTTTTTACTTATCAAACAATCCAGCAACTTGGGAATTTCTGATTGTTTGGCTCACTGAACGGTAGTTTTTAATCTTTTCTCTATCACCAGATTTCTGGATAGGAGTTAGAAAACTTTGCTTCCAGAATTCAGGGAAGATTCCCATGAAATAAAGAGTTTGATATTGTTTTTTGCTTAATGAATTTATAAGAACCTGTTGAAGTTGAAGAGCTGATATGTTGCAATGAAGTTGATACTTATTTTTCGTTTTTATAAATAGTATTGCAATCAGAATGGGAATCTGTTTGAAATCTGTTTTTCCATTAATCAGCTGTCGCCCCCATACGAACGACAACTCTCAGAAGTTGAGAAACTTGTGCGAGCTAAGGACTAACGAGGTCTTACCTTTTAATGTGTGATTCCTAACATGATTCATAGTCTTTCCCCACCGGATCAATATTTCACCCTACCTTTCCTGTAACTGAACATGTATGGGAGAAAAACAAAGGCAGAAACATGGAGGCAATAAAACGTCATAGTAATTCGATTTTTTCGTTATATTTCATGTAATATGTACTTATGTACATGATTTTAACACTATTATTAGATCAAATACGAATAATGACAATCATTCCCGGAGTGTCTAAAGAACAACTCCGTTCCTTTTTTATTTTCAATTAATAACAATATGTATATGTATAAGCACAATTTTATATTCAGGATTGAAAATAAATAACAGTAAAAATATATTACAAACATTGTATAAAACATACTAAATGTAATAAAAACATGAAAATATATTATCTGTATAATATATACAGAAATTATTTTACAACTAATGACTGTAGGTATATATTAATATGTTGTTTGGAATTAAAACGGAAATAACTGTCATTTTGGTTTTCAAAATGATCGCTAAACTGAGATGTGAAATAGCTGATTTTGGAAAATCCCACTCGAATGTCAGTTGATTATATTATTATTTACAAAAAATTATTTAAAAAATCTATAGATAAAGTTTCAATTTATACATCATGAAAAGCCAAAACCTTTTATTCTGTAGGTATAGTATAAACCCGCCCGAAGGAGGGTTTTTGTAATAGTCTCACAATAAAGTGTTTCTTCAATATATTGCAACAAATCTGAAGCCGGCCCTGACCGATATCAAATGTGAAGCCGGCCCTGACCGATATCAAATGTGAAGCCGGCCCTGACCGATATCTCATCCAGCGAATAAACACATGACATCACAAAGGAATGCAGTCGACAAACCGCCGGTTAAATTCTAGTTGAGTAACGAAACCACTAGAGAAATCTAGAACGATCGTTACCGAAATTTAAGGCTTGCTTCTCGTCCAGAGATAGCAGTTGAATTTAGAAAGTGAATCGAGCGGTTAAACAAGGAATTCAAATAGTGGAAATAAATTAAGCGTTAGTTGTTAAGTGTTGCAAATAAATTAGTTTGTGATAGTGAAATATTGTTAGAAATAAAATTTGTTCAAGACAGTAATTCGTTAAATTGTTACCAATAGAGCTGCTGGAAAATAATCCTATGAAAATCAAAAAATAAATTGATAAGTACTTTTTGATCATTCCCATATTTAAGAGTTACCGGTAGACAGCTGTTTCAGCCTATTGGGCATCGTCAGTACTGGGCAGGTTTTTTTCATTTTGTCTTCAATCGAGGACCGCCTGCCCGGTACTGACGATGCCCAATAGGCTGAAACAGCTGTCTACAGGTAGCTCTTGAATTGAAATCAATATGGAAATGGTCAAAAAGTACTTATCTATTCATTTTATATATATATGAAATGAGAAAAACGTATTCTCTACAAATCCTAGGGATGAAAAATGTATGCTGTTGGCTTTTATGAAATCTGTCATACGCCAATAAACCTAATTTGTTTATGCGAAGGTTATGAGAGGAAAAGTTGTCGAATAAAATAAATAATTAATTTTCAAATTCAGTAGGAATTTCTGAATAAAACGGATGCCGTCAACTCTTGTTGCGTCTCGTCTATTTTTGATAGAAACTTTATTCTTGACAAGACATTATTCAAATCTAAACCGTGGGATAGTCCAAAATGGAAATTGTACAAAACTGCTGAAATTCTGACTGAACCAATCAATACTCTTTGAAAAAGTGAAATTTGCAAATTGCATGATTACAACACAGAAAGTTCTAATCGTTTTCACCTCCGTAAAATACTTATATACTAACAAAGAAAAGAATAATTTGCTTTCAAATCGTTCAGAAGTTCCCAATAAATTGGCAATAAAAGCTAAAACAATTGAAAAACAGTTTTTTTTTCGGATTGATTCGGCCGTTACTTGATGAAGATCCATAGTAATTTCAAAAACTACATCTCACGATTTGATCTTCACAAACAAGTTTAAAAAGTTTGTATTTTCGTTATCAAAAAGTTGTTTAATTTTACTTAATCATATGGTAACTTCCTTTATACCGGCATATGTTTTGTTCGGCAGTTTTATATTGGATAAATGAAAAAAAAGACATGTGAAATCAAAAAGATAATTATTTTTTTCTATGTATAAGTCATTCTTCACTGAAAGCATACCCGAAGCTTATTTCTTGTCGATTTACAAACAGAACAGACACATATTCGGAAAAAAAATATGAATGCTTGATCAAAAAATATTTTCCGACTGTGATATAAAAACAATTCTTTTATTCCTCAACTTTTCTGATTTAACCAGTTACTGATAAGTTTTAAAAAAATATTGATAAGTTTGTTTTGTGTGATTTTATATTTCACTAATCAAAGTAAGTTGCTATGGATAGATTTTATTTTCTTTCAGTTTCTGTTAGAAAGAAACTTCTGTTCATGTTCTACTTTGATCATCTCTGAAATAGTTTATATTATCATTTCTAACATTTTCTTTCTTAATAAGTTTCACGATCTATACTTGTTGAAGTAGAAAGCCAAAAAGATTTTTTTATAAAATAACCTAGAATTTTAAAAAAATTGGAGAGCTAATTGATTGTTGTTTGATAATTTCATGATTTGTATTTCAGAATTATTAATTATTCTCCAATATATCTAATTTCTCGAAAAAAAAAACATATATTATTTATATTGATTTGTTGAAGACGCCTTTTTTATTTCTGAACAAGATACTACTACTACAGCATGACATTTCAAAAAAGTGTCAATCAGTCATTTATTTGAATTCATATTTCAACAATAACTTTTTCATACATTTTTTTAATATGTCCATTTTGAAAATATATATATATATACAATCTTCAAACCAAGTTTCTCAAATTGAAAAACGGCTGACGCCTTCAATTATACTAAACCTAAGCATCCCATAAGAATTTGAAAAACATTTATCATTAGTTCACATGTATCCATATATTCCTTTTGAAATATACTTTTTTGACAGCAAAACATGTTTCTGGGCAAATATTTCTGTATGAAACTAAAATAACGTCAATATCTAAAAAAAAAGACATTACATAAAGAACTGGCAATTTTTTATGTGTTTCAAATTTTAGTTCTCTCATAACTTTCAAAATTCTCCAACTATACATTGGATTAGAAGAGTACCCAATTCCATTATTTTGCTATCATGCCTATACACACATCCCATTTGATGTAAACATCCAGCTTTGTGAAAACCACTCAATTATTTTCAAAATTAAAACTCATTCATTAACAATGATCGTAATGGATATTTTATAGTTGTCGGAATCTAGTAATTCAGTATCTAGCGTGGCATTAGCCGGGAAAGTAGTTGTTTTTCGGCAGGTATTTATCCGAACCCACTATAAAGGTAATTCGGAACTTAGATTGTGAAAAATCAATGAAGTAAGCTTACTAAAATATATTACTTCAATCCAATCTTCTCGTCATGATATATAAATCAAACTTTATCACAAATGAACCCTTTTCTAGTAATAATACATAAAACATATAAAATGAAGTTTTCAGGAACTCTCCGTGATTTCTCTACTTAACCTTAAAGTGTACTGTAACAAAAATGAATAATTTTATTAGTACTTTCGAAGCTACGAATAGATTTTGCTTAGAAAATCAGATATCTCACTCTTCACATCCAAAAGCCTTACGAGGACACCGGATTTTTTTAGTTTTGTACTAGCTAAATAGCAAAATGAACTGTGTCTACTATAGCTCAGGAAATTTCGAGTTCCACACTTACGATCGTTTCATACGACAAAAGATGCGAGATTAGACTGCTTGATGACTTCGTTCGGCGATAAAAAAGACTTAGAACACATTTCAGGTTTTTCTAATATACAGGAATTCACATATACATCTTAACACTTAGTAGATCATACCCATCAGTATGGGGTTGTTGAAAATTGTAGTCATGCCAGTAAAAACATCAAAGTCACACGAGTTCAGCCAGTAGAAACTATGATGATCGGTAGTGACCATCACAAAGTTGTGAAGAATTTTTTACAGAAAACCAAGCACGTCTTCCTATGTCCTTTTTGTGTTCTTCCCAATTTCAAGTCGAAGTATTACCTAGTGGGCCTCTTCGATGTGATTTCTACAAACGAAAAATTCCCAAATGTCCTCATTCCTATTCACGATAGGGAGCAGTGACAGCACCGTCAAACCTACGACCAATTTCTCCAACATCATCTCTACAGAAACCCATAGAGAAACTTCACAACAAAAAGAATGACATTCTTCTTTGCAAAACATAATTCATTGAGCAATCCCCAATTCGTCTTTCGAATATCTAAGAGCACAAGCAACGCCATCTTTGAGTTCTTGGAACAGTTTCATTTGGGCCTTAATCAAAGCGAGAAGATTTCTCCAAGGTTGTCTTTCGACCTGTGGATCACAGAAGGATCAGCTCTCAACTGGTTCAGCTTGATAGTAGAAAATGAAACATCAAGCCTGTCCAAAACGTGCCGTGGAGTTCCCCAAGGTTCCGTGCTAGATCCCACTTCATTCCCTATGTATGTGAATGATCTTCCTAATAGCAATATTGAAGGAATACCACTTTATTATGGCGGGAAAGAGACTTGGATTCTTTCGAGAACAATATTCTTGATGTTTATGGAAATAGATTAACTGGTGAGCCGTGCTCTTCTGCTGTGCCCTTCAAGGGGGAAAAGTGCTGACACATCGGAAGAACCATGTGGGTCATGGGAAGACAGTTTTTTTCAAATAGTCCTTTTTCTTATCGTACAAGTTACCTCGCCTCACGAATCCTCATCAAACAGAGCCAACGCGCGTAAAATTTCCAGAGCCACGAAGCTTAACAGATGACAGCACCAAGAGATAGTGCAGGCACGCGTGGGGTAATACTGACTGTCGCTGCCACATTCAACAATATTTACTCGTCGCTGGTAATCCAACAGAACAACAACTTCAATGTACAATTAATAATACTATGAGTTATTCACGATACAAGGTATTTTTAGTTCATTAAAGCTCGTACACGCCGTTATGTCGCGATCGTCGCGAATTTCTTATTATGTTTTTAAGTGTTCTCTCTTGAAGGTACGAATGAATGCACAGTGCATTTTGTATACGCCTTTTTTTGTTTTTTCTATTGATGATGAGAAGGGAGGTAGCACGGGCTGCGTTAGAATGCGAGCAGCGGAACACTACATGGTCATTTTTATTATCCTCAGTGGAATTCGGCGCCATATCAGGATTGGATTTCTTGCTGCCGCCGATCCGTTGCTATGCGGAGTAGGTTCGTGAATTCGCCTTTCAGCGTTTGCCTTACCTGTAAAAGACAATAAGGTTTTTTTTAAGTTAGATAATGAATGAAACTGATATGTTCATAACGGTGGAAACCATTTATCATTAAATTCATTGTTCGTATACAATGTCACCTTCAAAGTCGGCAACATACAGGAATTTTTTTCCTCAATAGGTGGTCCAAGAATTACCCGGATTGACCTAGAGATGGCGGTAGTTGTTTGAAAAATATCAGAGTATTCTCTATATGTTTCAAGTTTGAAGACGCTGCTTTGCCGAGTATTTGTTTGGCAGCCATCAATAAAGAACGTTCTTGGTGAATTTGTGAAAATTGTGTGGTGCAATACTTTCATTTGAAAGGCCTCAGCCTAACCAGTATAAAATCTAAACTGGACTTTGCTCTGGGTGAGTCTGCTCCTTCGTTTACAATAGTGAAATATTGGATAGCAGAGTTTAAACGAGGCTGTACATGTTCAGTATTTATATTCACTATTATTTGTTCACTCTCTCTTACCCTGTATATAGTAATATTTAGTTTGATGTTCAGTTGTCGTAACTAAAACAAGGAGAATAAAAAAACTTTGTTGACTGACATTGAATTTCAATATTTCGTTCTTCGAGACCGGATTCAACCTAGATATTTCAGGTAAAACATAACATTAATTGGTCCTTCCACGCCTTTACTGAATCAGCCTATTGCGACATGTCAAAAAATATGTAGTGAAAAGACACCGTATAGGCAAACTGCTAATGATCTCAATGAGCGACATCCAGAAAGAAACACTCGTTTGAGTACTACGTCAAAAACAATAACAAAATTTATGCGAAGTAGTTCCATAGAAAATCGTTTTACGGCCTACGATTTTAGTGAGTTTTTGGATAATATGGACCTTTTTACTACACAAAAGTTATGATACCAGTTTGGTGGTGCTCTAATACACCAAACTGTTGCGGTAAAGCAGTGCTCGAACAAACGTGCAAAGATAAAGTTATAGGACGCGATTTGGATTATTACTGGCCACCCAGATCACCCGATTTAACGCCAATGAATTTTTTCTGTGATGTCATTTGAAACAGAAAGTTTATGAAAGTTGACCTTTCACCAACGTTCAACATTCGCAGAATTGCTGCGCAAATATAAAACCCCAATTTGTTAGAAATGTCTTGTATATAGAAGAACAGTCGTTTGCATTGAGCGTGAAGGATGACAAACTGAAATGTAAGCAGTGACTTTTTGAAATTATAATAATAATAATAATCGTCTTTGACAGTTATCTAATTTGAGCCATCCTGTTTCTTTAAATTTCATACTAATATATTCAAATTTACGTATTCCATGAGAAAAACGTAAACAGGAATTTTGAATTTTTTGTAGTCTAGCTGCATCAGCCTGTAGAAGTGCTAGACCATAAATACTGTCGCAAAATGATAATTTAGATATCACCAGCGATTCGCACAACTCAAGTTTCATTTTAGTAGATAGCAAATCACGACTAGGAACGAGCTCTGGCAGAGATAGCTGACGTGCTTGGTAAATTCCTTATACTGACCATACCACGAAATCATCAAAATAAAAGTAGAAATAAGAATTCTTACTCCGGTATTTTGTGTTGGTATCTGTAATGCCAGTGCCATACTGTCTGCATCGAAGCTTTCATCTAATGCAATCAAAGCACCATGAACTCCGGATTCTTCTAAATTATTCGAATAATCCTGTTAAAGGAAAAATATATTAATTTGTTTTTTGACAAATCTTAGACAATGTCTTACTTTTAAACCTATCGAAGCTACCCATTTTATGAGCCGTTCATTACTCCATACCAAAACATCTGATAGTGTGTTTTCACAGTTTTTTCTTCTATCTTCCAAGGCATTTCGATCGTAATTCAATCTCTTCAAACATGATATGCCGTAATGTAAGCTCGTTCTGGAAAAGTTCAACAAATGATATTACAAAAAAAAAGAATCTGAAGAATATATGGAGAGTCATCTTGAGTGATAATATGGAACATAAAAGGTCATAATTTTTTGTACTGTCATATTGAAAAGTTACTAATTTCTCTATTCACACTTTTAAATCTCTTAAGTTTGATAAGTTATCTAAAAAAAACGTTACAAGTCAACATGAAGAGAGTATATGTCATCAACTCTCATCTGAAATAGTAGTAAAGCTAATTTTATAGGAAAAAATGTATTTTCTCCAACAGCTTCAATAATAATAATAATACTTGATGTCGGCGTGTTAATTACACTGTTCCACATTAACAATCAAAACTCCGGGAAATACTAAATGTCAATAAATGTAATGTGAATTGTCCATCACTTATACTATCAATGAAAGATTCCAAAAACTGAATTAATTTTTTTATTGCGTGCCCCAAATTCTATGGATAAAATCGTAAACAAGTAAATAAACCAAATATTGTTAAAAATCGAACTAGTTTAATGGCTCACGTTTGTCATACAACTGTCCATACAAAAAATTGAAATATAAATTGCAAAGACAGATTATAGAATGTTGTGACGTTGAAAAGATTTCAAGTGATCAGTTGTACAACTAGTATATATTGTTCATTATGGCATCAATAGCTGCTTTAGTAGTCGTTATGTTCGGATTATAGTAATAAAATCATCATGAACCACATATGACTTTATTACAGGAACTATGCACCAGATAACTTAAAAAAAATTGATTCCAAAATTTACAAACTACAGTTTCAGACCCAAAGTCGATAGCTATATCTGTTAAAAAAAACTGATGAAATCTGTTTTTTCGTTAACCAGTTTATCATTTGCATAAGGTTATACCAGGTTATTTTACATAAAAATTTAAATCATTCCACTGATTATTAAAACAATTAAAAGAAAAAGGTGTCTTCTGATCATTTAGTTTTAGCTCATTAGATAGAAACCACTGATTATTACTATTAGATACCTCGTCGAGATGAGAGTGTAACATATCATTATTTTTATCCGACAAAATGAAAGTGGTGTCGTCCGCAAAGAGAACCGATTTGAACGACATCATATATTTGCACAAGTCATTCATATAAATGACAAACAAGAGCGGGCCCAAAACAGACCCTTGCGGAACGCCATGTTTAATAGTTTGAAAGTTTGGTACTACAGACCTATTGCGCTTCTGAGCACTTTATCAAAGGTGCTAGAAAAAGGTATATCAAAAAGAATAAATAGCTTCCAATGTAAGTTTGATATACTGAATAGAAAATAACTGGATTCAGAGAAGGTCATTCCACTGAAACGGCAACAATAGAGTTCATACAATTAATAAACGAAAAACTAGAGAGAAAATGATCCATTACTGGACTTTTCTTCGACCTGTCACGTGCATTCGACACACTAAACTTTTATTTCATCGTAACAAAAATAAATGCACTTGGGATTCGTGGAAGCATATCACAATGGATCCGTTTATTTCTAGAAGGTCATAAGCTAATAGTGAAAATTACTTAATCGACACTCGTACTCCCCAGGGGAGCATTCTTGGCCCCTTAATTTTCTTATTGTTCATCAATGACCTTCCTGATTACATAAATGACGGAGAGGTTTCTCCAATTTGATAATTGGTGTAAAAAGAACCGTTTCATCATAAATTATTCCAAAACCATTGCGGTTCAATTCCAGAGATCTAAAACAGGAAAACTTTCCACAGAACAACTAAACATTAAGACAAGAATATTTCAAGAAAGTTGCAAATTTCTAGGTACAATTGTACAATCTCAGATGGGAGAAATGCATCACTATGATCTGCTCCAAATTGAATAAACACTACTTTCCAATAAAAAATCTGATGAGTTGTAGCTTATGTTTTGGCCACCGATTGTATCAGAGTCTTTTTAGCACAAAAAAGGATAATTCGCCTGATGTTCCATTTGGATTATCGAGAATCCTGCAGAAATAACTTCAAAGAGAAAAAACTTCTAACTTTCACGAGTAAATATCTATACAAACTTCTGGTTCACACATACATTCACAAAACTATCAAACTCGCAAAAAACCGAATTTAGACTAGAACTCTCCACATACAACAATTATAAAAAAAACCCAAAATATGCAGGCGCGAATTCCTACAATTTATTACCCCATGAATTGAAAAACCAGTCAAACCTGCTCAGATTCAAGTCTAAACTGAAATCTTTTCTGCTCTAGAAAGCATTCTATGATATAAAGGAATTCACGATGTGGTGTCAGAGTCCTATTGGCGATTTTAATTCTATTGGATAGTTTTATACAAGTATTCTTATATTTTATGGACATTAATAATTTTTATATTAGGAATAATCAAAATGTAACTATGGTATTTTGACTTGTCTTGGTGTCTGATCAATAAACTTTTATCTATCTATCTATAACGACTGTAAACTAAAAGAACATACCTATGAAAACCGTCCACCATCTTCAGCTGACCCCTCAAATCCTTCTTGGTGAGATGATCCAACATCCTGGCGTCTACCAAACACTCCATGAACGTAGTCCGGTACTGCGGAAGACCTAGGGCCGGCAACCACGAGTTCCCTATCCACTCGTGGTTCATGTCTCCGAACGCCAGCGTCGTCCTGGACGTCTTAGGCGCCGACGGCGACGTCAGCGACACCATCTCCTGAATAGCCAAGCGGAGCTTCAACCTATGCAACGGGTTACTGATGCCGATCTCCCTCTGGATTTCGGTGTCGCTGAGCGCGCTCATGATGGCTCCCGACTTGACGTTGGCTCGGCACGCTGCCACGTACCACGCGGGCATACCCACCCACAGTTCGAGCCACGCCACTATAGTGGGACCGTTCCACAGGGCGAATGGAGTGCCTGCTTTCATCGCTTCTGCTAGCAGTTCGTGTCTGTAATCACGCTCCCTTTCAGGAAAAAATTCACAGTTAAAAACACACACCTCTCGATTTTTTTGCCTTTCGTTTCCTTAATAATTTCAAATTTTTTTCTGCCAATTCGAATGTCTGATCATCTTTATTTTTCTAATTTCTATAGAGCACGAGTCACAATAATTACAACTGAAGTCGCAGACTGAACGGATCTAAATCTTTGGTACTGGTGAACAAAAAAAGTTTACAGACTTCGTTGAAATACCGCAAAAGCCACCATCTGTTACTTTTTGGCAGTATGATGTTGATTGAATAAGGAAGTAAGTACAACTCTCGGAGAACAGGGCCATTGTGGTGTACCACAGGGTTCTGTGTTAGGCCCTATTCTATTTCTGCTATACATGAATGACATCTCTATGATTGACATATCTGGTAGTTCCACACTATTTGCAGATGATACTACAATATTGTGGAATGAAAAAAAATCAGGGGAGCTAAATGAAATAATATCATCCGACTTGAAGAAGGTGAAGAGCTGGTGCGATGCAAATTTACTCCCTCTCAATGTATCCAAAACAAATATAATTTCATTCAAATGTTCGCTTGATGAAATTCCTATAGACGCTGCCATATTACAAAATAAATTAAATAAAAAATGTCTCGGTGTATTCATTGATGATGAATGGGCTGAAATTTGATGAACACCTTAAACTACTCAAGAAGATCTCCTCCGGATGTTATGCTGTTAGAGTGGTTTCAAATGAGTTGGGTTTCTATATCGCAAAGACCGTTTACCATACACTTAGTGAATCTCGCCTATGTTATGGAACACCTTTTTGGAGAGCATGCAACTCATCCCTTCTCTCTTGTGTATTGATATTACAGAAGAGGGCACTAAGATGTCTCTGTAAAGTAAAACCCAGAGAATCGTGCAAGAACTTGTTCACCGCCAAACAAATTTTAACAGTCATTATATTATATATAAACATAAATCGAAGTTCAACTTTGCTTCTACTCCTTATGCTACTTATAAAAGCAATTATACCTTTAGACTTCCCATTCCAACTTCGAATCTAATCAAGGATTCCATGTACTATAATGGTGGTAAGTTGTTCAATCATTTACCACTAGAAATGAGATCTGCAAATCTATTCAATGTTCATTTTAAAAAGACGGTGAAGAACATACTTATTGATAGACCCTATTATAGTTTGGAAGAGTATTTTAGCGAATCCTTTCAACAATAAATTAACAACTTATTCCTTGTACTATCATTTTATATATGGTGGTATTTTATCTTCCACGTACTGTTTTCTATTATATAAGTATGATTCTATCAAGTTAGCTGAGGTTCCCCTGATTCCATAAGCCTCAAGTTTATTTAGCAATGTTTTATGATTGACATTGTCAAAAGCTTTTGAAAGATCTAAGTTAATCATTAAGCTATGTTTCTTGTTGTTTTGACTATTTATGACTGAACATAAAGCTTGATATATTGTCAATAAGATGCAAATCTTCGGACAACAAAGAATATTTTGATTTGATTTGAAGTAACCTTCTGTTGATTACACAAACATTTCTCATAAACTCAAACTCTGTTGCTCTGTTGATCATATCACAAAGTTCCATGTAAGGCAAAATGTCCTCTCATAAAAACGATAATCCTAGTTTGTATAGCCCTTTTGATGTATGAGTGAAGTGAAGTACGCCTCACAGATTCTACATTAGGTGAGAGTACAGTTGCAGATTCAAGGTAACGTAGAATGACTGAATTCAAACAAATAGTGGTAACAGTTCGTGAGCCTAAAAGTGACATCAAAACTGTCTCTTAATGGCATGAAAACCGTAAAGATATAGAATAAGATTGACCCTATATATGTTACCAGGATACTTGGGAAACATAGGCCACGTGTCCTAAACCAATAGTGGGAGACCCATAGTCTTTGGTAAGAGACCAGATCAGAAATTGGTCAATAAGAAACATAACTGGGAAAATATACCTGGGAACACGCATAGAAAAAAGTTTTAAAGATACTGTCTGATAGAAGAACTGAAGACATTGATAGGAATATAAACCCCTGACATTCAAGATCTCAATATCTTTATAAAGTTGGTGTGTTGAGAATGACCTAGGTTTCTTGAATAGAATTTTCATTAAAGTGTTCTGTGTTGTTTGGTGTCGACTAAAAGTTTTATTATACATTCCACCCCAAGCATTTATTCAATATCTCAGGACATACACCGCTAGAAATTTATATAATATAAAAATATTTTTTTATCCAAGATACCTCGTAATTGTTTTTAATTAACGTTCTGAGTCTTTTCACTAATTAATTAGAGTGAGCATTCCATCTCAGATGCTGATCTACCATAATACCCAGATATTTCATATTTATCAACCTTTCTATCAATGTTTCACAACACAAATATAGTTTTTCTCAACTTTTCCATTTTTCTCAGCTGTAAGAATTTTTTGTTCTTGTGTAACAAAGTTTCAGATCCTCGAGTATGTACCTGCTATTGTGACTTGCCCTATATAGTACGAGGTGGTGTTGACATGAATCTTTAAAATATTCATATTAGTGCAAGAAGCCCATCTAGGAGTGTTAGTTGGATGATATAATTGTAGTTCGTTTTGCGAGAAGCAAAGCATTGAAGTGAGAAGCTGTGAAGTTTTTTTTGTATAGATCGAAACAGCAGTCCACCAAAACATAGAAAACAACTCCTATTTCGGTCCATGTATTATCTAATTTGAAATTATTATTGGGTAGTTTGTGTTGAAATAAGCTGAAATGAATAACTGTTTTTGAGTTTACAACGACGAATGCATCTCAACATTTTTAAGATTCGCTGAGTACATCGAAAAAAATTTATTCATTAATTTTGATATTCTCTTTCGCCATTTCACTTATTGAGAGTTCAAGTGGACTCACACCATTGGATTGGATAGGACCATTTTTTTTTCAGGGAGTGACAGAAGGAAAGGAATTTTAATTTCTGTCTCTGAATTTTGAGTTACAATTGAGAAAAAAAAATGACGAATGGTAACATTCTTTGTTGTAAACTATTAATGAGTGAAATGAATAAATATAGTAATAAGTAGTAAGCAGAGAAAAAGCCAACTTGGAATCGAACATCTTTTTTTCTTACAAACCGTTTCAATTTGATAAAAATATCCGAATCTGTTTGATGTAATGTTCAATTCCAGTGAGAACTGACACATCATTCAGATTAAATTCGAACCAATTCGATATCTCTCTGAAAAATGTTTCAACGTTAATATAGTTCGCGAGTTCATGACTGATTCGAATTAATATCTAAAAGAGGTGTGCAATAACAGAACAAAAGAATAAGGAAAACCATCGAAGACCGTACAAATTTTAAATTGAGAAAAATCATCGCCTCAAAGTTGTTAATATTATTAGGTTAACAACACTAATAATATTGACCAATTGAAAAACGGCATAAAATGATTTTCTTCAATCGTCTGTTTATCCCAATTAGTCTTTGGGAATTGAGATAAAAAAAAGTAAACCTACAGAAATAATAATAAAGAAGGGTTACGAAGTAATTGATAGAAAAAGATATCATACACCCACTTTTTCTTCTGTCTTCGGTCGAAGTCTCCTTTTTGTCCCATTTTGCCGGTTAAGCTCATCGAATCACTCAGATCCCCATCAGGCATTCCGATGCTACTCTGGCTCAGGTTCAACGAACTTTCTTGCCCTGCTCCTTCTTTACCTTTAACCTGAAATACGCAGATAATTAAAGATGTATTATAGTCTAAGTGTAGAAACGGTATCGACCAGGATGGACACATCTAAACGTGATTATTGTCTTTCTTTTTGTTTTGAATAAGAACACCGAAGGGTTATTTATTCAATTTTGTGAAAATACTGTTGTAAATCGTGTCCTAAAGAAAGTAACGCCGGCCGCCACTGGTACGGCCGCCACTGGTAACCATGAACCAAACGTGACGTAGCTAAGAGCGCGGGAATGTACGATGATTCCCCGCCACTCGAGAATAACGCTACCGACTTCGACAGAACTTTGGCGAAATGTCTACGATGTTCGATTACGATATTTAAGCGCTAGCGGCGGGCATATCGAGACAGTCAAGTACACAGTCAAGTGGAAGATGCAGTGCGATACACTAAGTGATCAAGTAAGGCGATAGACACACACAGTCAAGTGGACGTTACAGTGCGGTACGCGAAGTGATCTAGTAAGGCGATAGACATTCAAATAATAGTTGATGTTTTAGTTGAAGTGTTTGTTGTACTGAAGTGAAATAAAGTTAAGTTTGATTATTCAGTGTAGTCAATTATTGATCAACCCACGGGGAAAAACGTAACAATATATTAGGTTTTATCAATCTATATCGGCCTGACGTTTCTTTCCCAATCATAAAATTTATTTGACCAAATTATATCTTGCGTACTTTTAATCCTGCGGCGTGAGGGGGAATGTCCCTGTGCCCCCCTTCATGAAAGGTATTTATAAAGTGAATGATGTTTTCTCTACTAACCTTTTCCTTCTTGCTGAAGAACCGTCCCAGTGACGACTTGATGCCTTTCTTCTTCTGCGCTGCCGCAGCGGCCGCTGCTGCCGAACTCATGTCGCGCGGCAGGCTCGCCATCGTGTTCTTGTGCAGACTCTCCTGGCTGCTGTGACGAGAGGATAGAGGTGATGGAGGCGTGTGCGTCTGCCCTTGCCTAAACACACTACAATCTACTGTCTAAGCTATCTCTAATCGAGCGCTTCACAAGCGTGCAAGCAAAATCATGCAAAGTCTTGAACTTGAGCGAAATCACTTCTGAGTTTCGTTCAGGTCCCTCATCATAATCCAAACTTGAACCAGGAGTGGAAGTTAAACTTCAAAATTGATATGAAATGCTTTCTGTCAAATTTGGAGTCTTCGACTACATCTTCGGGCCCCATGTTGGGCGCCAAGATGTAGCAAAATAGACTCGAAGGAATACATTTATTCAACAACTGATCCAGTTGATTTTTCATTTTATACAAAATTGAAGAATTCTAAGATTCATGATTAGAAATTATTGAAGATTTTTTCACTTTTCACTTTTTTCCAAGGATTCAATCCCACTCCTTAGTCAATTTTCAGTTCAGAAATGTGATACAGTTGGGACAACAAAAGATTACACATACAGCATCAATAAAATATGCGATAAAACACTCACTTTCAAATAGTTAACATTTGCGTTCAGCCAGAGAAAGTTTTTTTTTATGACAACTTACACTGGGTACATTGAAGAGTACAAACGTGAATCTTTGGCATTTTTTTCGATTTTTAAACAAATTTATGACGTTATATTATCGTTCAATGTTTTTATTTTGGAGTTTTTTCGATTTGAAGTCCTTTAGAATATAGAAATAAAAAATGGCTCTGTCTAAGATTCCGCATACTGGAATATTTACATTCCTACATATAGGAATATGAAAATGACCAATAAAATATGGGGTATTTACAGAATGAACAATGAAATTGATTCGAAATCGTAAAACTAGGTTATACACAATTTAAAACAAAAAGCTATTCTTTATCAAAAAAATTTGATTGTTTGAAACAGCAGCCATTACTTTGTCTTCTCATTTCGATGCACCAATTATTGATGCATGTGTAGTTTTTCATTGCCCCAAGTGTATATTCCACTTTGTCAATTTGGGGCCATGGTACTGAATAAAGCAACCAAATAAAAATAATCAGCATCACAAATCACAACAACAAAGTACTTTTCAAATAATTTGATAGATCTCATATCAAATTCTAACACGTCACTGAATTTGAGATGTAGAATAATTCCAACATACTTGTCTTTTTGATGACTTTGTTTTATCACAGTTGAACGTTCTAAAACAGGCGTCAAAATTCACAGATATATGTTGGCCTGACTTTCATGTCCATAAAGTTCACAGAAAAAATTCAATTCGATTGATAACGGCAGTGATTTGGACGAGCAACTCAAAAACATGAAACATTGTTGAATGAATAGAAAATCTTTCACGTATATCATTGATGGAAATCAACAAATTTTTTGAAAAGTATTCAATCTGAAAAACATTTATAACCTGTAGGATACTCCTGGTGGAAGACCCCCCCCTCCAGTACGTCTGTTATGACAAAAAAAAATCTATTTGAAAAATTTTCTTTGGTAACAAGAGAATTACAATACACCATAGTCAAATGCGCATTGAATCATTTGTTAGTGACAAATCAGAGTAGAAATTTGATTTCATAGGGACGATAATTCAACAAAGATAAAGGCTCAGATACTCAATTATTATCATCGTTTATCATTAAATAAATCGTCATACCTTCTCAATTCTTCCTGGCTGTGTGCTAGTGCTTGGGCAACCCGTTCGAGTCGCAGGGACCTTGCTGTGAGAGGTGAAGCTCCCCCACCGCTGCTGCTATCTCCCATGTGCATTTCTTCTCGGGACATTTCAGACGACAACGGGGCCAATTGGATCTGAGAAAACGTTTCATTGGACGAAAAGGAGAAACAAATAACGAACCTACGCTAACATGCAGCTAGTGAGTGAGAGAGATCAATATATGTGCGTGTGATGTCTGTTAAAGCCAACAAAATGTTTATACACCTGGTACGATAAACAAACACTGTTATATAGTATTGAGTATTCATTTATTAGTTAACAAAACTCTTTTTATTTTGATGAGCATGGCATTTCTTCACCGAACGTCATACAAGTACTTTATGATAGAGAGAAATGTTTAATAATGTGCTTCTTCCTACTAGTAAAATGAATCAGTGTTGTTATTATTATTGTATTGATGTTTTTGTAACCTGCTTGATCAGATTCATCTTCAATCATCTGGGTAGTTCCATGTTTGGTATTTAAAGTCTTTAAATTAACCTATCGGAAATTCATGGCAGACATTTTAGTAGAAAGTAAAATGTCTGTATACAGTGCATTTCTTTAATGTACCCTCCCCTTTTATTTTTTGAACGGGTCAACTCAAAAAATTGAAATTAGGGATAATGAAATTAATGCATGATTACTTTATTTTGAAGTGAAATTGACAGATGAAACTTTCAAGATGGCGACTGGGCGAAATCTGGGAAAAAAATTAAATTGAAAAGGGGGGCTTGTGACACATCATTTTGAAGCTCCTAACGAATACTTCACAACCCTAGAATACGAAGTCAATATCTTTACTTACTACAAAATGGCGGAACATTTAATAATTTCCTGAAGACAAACACATTAATATCGATATTTCTAGAAATATTCCTTTTTATCTGCCATTGGAAATTCCAACAACCCAATAAGGTTTGTTAAGACAGAGTCAGATGCTACAAATGCAACACGGATTTATACAGACGGCTCAAAAACCAAATAAGGCTCAGGATGTGGAGTGTACTCCAGGTCACTTAGCCTAAGGATTAAGTGGGAAATGGGAAGAAATACCAGCGTAGTCCAAACAGAACTGGCTGGTATCTCAATCGCCACAAAAGAAATGACCAGGTATAGAATTTCTGGCAAAAACATAACAATCTGCACTGCTAGCAGACAAACCCTATTAGCCTTGAACAGACAACGTGTTACCTCATGGCTAGTACTAGAGTGCCACCAAGATTTAGCCAAAGCCTCGGTTTTAGGACCCAGTGGCACCTACGGCCTGATGACTTCGACAATTGCGGAGAGGAACTAGATTTGAATATACTGGAAACTACTGTTGACCCTCTTATCACTGAAATCGTCGAAGCGAATCATCATGAATTCGATATGGATATTGTATTCCAACTAGATGGAGCACAACTACATTACTCCAGACAAGTAAGAAACTATTTGGATACTACTTTTACCGGTAGTTGGAATGGCCGCCGAGGCCTACAGAATGGCCAGCACGCTCGCCAGATTTGACACCTTTGTACTTTTTCAATGGGGCTATTTGGAACAAAAGGTTTACGAAACCGAACCTGCTTCAGTATGTGATATATGGCAGAGAATAATAAATATTTGTAGAAAAATTGTCGTTATTGTGATCGAAAATGTTCGGCGTAAAATATCGGATAGGCTGTTCATATGTCAATAAGTTCAGGGCAACCATTTCGAGCATCTTTTGAACTCACCTCAAGCTTCTTACCTCATATTACGTAGAAGATATTGACATTACATTCTAGGGTTGTGAAGCATTTGTCATGAGCTTCAAAAAGACGTGTTACAAAACCCCCCTTTCCATTTGATTTTTTTCCCAGATGGCGCCCAGTCGCCATCTTGAAAGTTTCATCTGTCAATTTCACTTCAAAATAAAGTATTCATGCATTAATTTCATTATCCCAAATTTCAATGTTTTGAGTTGACCAAAAAATAAAATGGGGGGGATATTAAAGAAATGCACTGTATATCAGAGTTTCACTTCTGATTTTAAGACTATGTATTTATGATTTGTACAAAAAAATGACACAAGTATATAATATTAATCTATGATTTTGGTGGATGAAGTTTTTTTCAAACGAGATAAAATATGTCAACAAATTGGTATTTTGAATAAAACAATGAATGAATTCATCGTTTCATAAATTTAATTGCATCTTGAATGTCATTACATTACATTTGGACCTGGATATGCCATTAATTTGAAATAACCTAATATATTTACATACTGAAAACTTTTTCGAATAATCAATTATCCTGAAGGCAATCTGATGAATCTTCATTACAAAATGAAAATTCGGTAAACTGTTGTCACCTGTTTCTAAAACTATGCTCAAAAAACTTAGGATTATAATAAAGTGTTCAATTAACATGCATCTGATGGTATATAATTCAGTGTTTAATTATCGTACATCAAATGTTATATACCATAGTCGGTACGTTAATAAGTCGCATCAACAAACCTGACTAGATGGCAACGATTCGGACAAGGCCCCAGGGCTCAGTGTTGAATGATATTGTTGCAAATGCGCTGGAGACATACTGGCCGGTGCCTACAAAATCACATTTTCACACACCAATAACTTCCTTCCGGTTCATGATACTATGTCCGGATACGGTTGGCTTTATGATCACGAGAAACATGGATGTGCGCCATGAAGATATATGAATGCATGCACAAAAAAATGAGAGTCCACCTCCGACTTCTCTTGTTTTTCCTTTCCTGAATAAGAGTATTACTTTTCCACATATTTGAATGGTAGCACATATCAATTCGGTTATCAAAGTTTTTATTGTAGTTAGAAAAATGATCTTATCGGAGAAGGAGCTGTCTGTTTAGAGCTTCCTAGAGTCACACTTTGGAAGTCGCTTGTAGGCGAACCATAATAACAAAAAAAATAGTGGAATCTGCTATTACCAGGAAGCAAAGCTTAGAATCTAACAGCCTCCGGGTGTTTTTAGAGGCAAAACTACATATTTGTGGGCATAATCATTGTCCAGATTGGACAATGATTATTATGAAACGAATTTGAGATTATATTCGCTTTAAAGTATGAAGAAAAAACTCGGTAGCGTGGAAGATTGAAATTTCAACAATACATTATCATGAAGAATGTCCACTATATTATCTGACCAATAACATACACTTTTGAACGTTCAAGTTCCACAGATTCTCAAGAAGACAATCTCTATCAAGACAATCTCTAATCAGAAGAAGAAACATAGTTCATAATTTGGGGAGAAAATGATTTATAAAAATAGTTTGAGATCAGAGAAGATGATCCCTCATTAGTTTTTCTTTTACTCGTTTCCAAAGAGGTCGGAAACGGGCCCAGAAAAGGGAAAGCCCGTTCACCGTTTTCAATTGTTTTTTTTTTGGACGAGATTCTAGAAAGGAAGTGAAAGCATTAGGAAAAATCTCCATTTCAGAAACAATCCAAACCATCTACAAGAAAGAATTATTCGCAGCTGCCGGGCTGAGTCATGGCCGGTGAGAAGCCCCTCCCTCAAGATATGCAGTAGATGTGTAGAAATCAGTCTGTTAGATTATTCGAGCCGTGAACATCCAAATTCAGGACCGTATTCAGTTATTGATGGAGTTCAAAAGTAAGACGTTAGAAGGTAAGACCTCGTTAATTCTTAGCTCGCACAAGTTTCCACTTCTGAGGGTTGTCGTTCTTAGGGGTGCAACAGCTGGTTAACGGAAAACATTTTTTTTTCAAACAGATATTGTTGTAAATCATGCCCTAAAGATAATAACGCCGGCCGCCACTGGTAGCCATAAACTAATGGTGACGTAGCTAAGAGCGCTCGAATTCACGATGTTCCGTGCCGCTCTAAAAGCAGTGAGAAGAATGCTACTGATTTCGATGGAACTTCGGCGAAATTTCTACTGCATTCGATTACGATATATAAACGCTAGCCTTGAGCATATCGAGACAGTCAAGTGGACGATACAGTGCGGTACGAGAAGCAATCTTTTAAGGCGATAGTAGACATTCAAATAATAGTTTTTGTTGAAGTGTTTGTTGTATTTGAAGTGAAAGAAAGTTAAGCTTGATTATTCAGTGTATTCAATTATTGATCAACCAACGGATAAAAAACGTAACGATATTTCAAATAGTCAAACTCAGCGAACCAAACTTTAAGCAGATACGATTTCTCCCACCGGTCATGACTCAGTCCAGTAGTTGTACCTATATGGTGATAAATCATTGAATTTCGTGACTGGGGATAGATTTTTGTCAAATAAAATATTCCGATGCAGTCCTATGACCGATATCTAACCATTGTTGAAATTTAGGAACAAATTTATAATTCGATAAATGAAAATTGTTTTATTGAATTTCATTACTCACTTTTTATAATTTTTCCAAAGACACTTTTTCAACATTCCACTAAAAAGACTTCAAAAGGTTAAAATCATAAAATGCAAATAAGAGTGTAGCCCTAAAATGATAATTCATATACTATTTAGGATTTTTTGTAAAATCCTAAAATCGAAAGTTATTTTCTACAGAAGTTCTTCTTCTTCTCTTTTATGGTCTTTGCTTCAGCGCAGTGGACCAGCTCTACAGAGGTTGATTGCCATTGAACCAATTTCCCAGAACTGAACTATTCATATAAACTTTCACGTCCGGGGTTAACTGTGGTAAAGTTATTGTCCAGATTCATTTGCCGTGGTCTGCAGGACGTTTTGCTTCTGACGTCTACCGCAATTATAGGCGAAACGCCAAGCATAAAACCCAGCGGACCACGGGCAGCAATCCCGAATAATAGCTTCGGCACAGTATTCACGAATGAACAATCATCAAGCAAGACAAAAATAAGCATGAGAAGGAAAAGACAAACCCACAAAATCACAACATGTCAGCAAAGACGGGGTGGATTCTCTGAAAGAACACAACAAAAAACCCAAAAAGAAGCGGTAAAAGTAAAGAGACAGACAGACAACCCAGCTCACCGTATGATACTTATGTAAATAGTCCCTCTGAGGAGAGTGGTGTGATTTAGGTGTAGATCTACCGCTTACTGGAGGACTTTGGCGCTCGAGGCTCCTTCCGCGCGCCAAAAGGTTCATGTGCTCCATGCTGCCGACGCGCGACTCGAGCTCTTCCGCGCGCGCTTCCGTGTTCTGCTTCTCCTCTTGTATCAGCCGGATCTCGTTGTTGATGGCGTCCAGCTGCTCCTGCAGCATCATCGCCAAAGTTTGAGCGTCGGTGTGGCCGCTGGGCGAAAGCATGTCCTGGGTACTGAAGATGCTGTCCGCGTCGTCACCTTCATCACATATACATTATATTTTCATCAATACAATAACAATGATAATAACAATTTATTGTCGCAAGACATATACCATGTGGAAAAAAGAAAAGAAGAAAGTTTAACTCATTCGTTCCTCACACCTTGATAACTTGTTATAAATTATTGGGCATAGGATTATTATATTACCTTCTGCATCGCTGGATACATCGAAAGCCTGTTGGACATTGGCTAGGACGTGAGCCTGTTGAAGTTTCTCCCATTCGTGTTCGGTCATTGATCTGGATCCGAACGGTAACTTGGGTTCATCGTCGATTGGCGTCCTACTTTTATTACCTCTTCGAGGTAAGGAATGAGTATCGAAACTGGAATGACTAGCACTTCTTGAAAAACTATTGGGATCCACTGTGTTTGGTGACAAAGACCTGAAATTTCAACAAGGCTGTTTTTGAATGAGGACGAAGGCAAGTTCTGTGTTTATTCACTGCAAAATGCGAATTTCTTATAGAACACTGTTGGAAAGTTAAAAAATTTCACAGATGAAATCTATTTAAAGAATATCTGGAATATATAGACGAAATCTGTATCGTTTAATGACTAAAAGTAAAGCTGTCGATCGGCTTTTTCCTCGAAGCTCCAATACTAAAGAGGTCGCGCCAACAACAACCACACATTTAGGAAAGTGATCGACGGTTTCGAAAATCAACTGCCTAGTCAAAATTTCGGCATATAATATTGAGATTTTAGAGTAGGAAAGGTAACATTCCAGTAAGGATTCCTATAATCTGGACAACTATTTCATTAGGGATATATCCAGATATCCTAGCAGGCCATGTTGAGCCCCTCAGTTTTCAACTCCGGCCCTCTTGAACCGAGGAGAGCACACACAAATGCTTCAATGAAGCAAAGTTTTCAATGTTGTTAAAAAAAACAACATGCATCAACTTATCTTTGTGTAGCCAGTAGTAAAGTAAGCTCTGCAAGGGCCTTTTGCTGAAGAGGTTCCAACTTGGTGATAGAGATGTGGTCAACTCTTTAGTACTGCAAACTGAAGCAAGCTCAACGATTGCTTGGGCAGCTGCCTTAAAAATAAATTCTCCAAGCCCTATTTTCTCATGGTCACGGACCATGCAGAAAGGAGTATCCAAACATCTGGTAACTTTACACATTCAATCCTGTATCATTCTGTACAGGATGTAACTCAAGAGTCTACAACTTCCTAATAAGTCGAGTCCCTTCAAGTTGACATTGTAAAGCTTTTCCCGAGTTCATTCCACCACTCCAAAGAAAATGGAATAAGATTACAAAAGCACCTTTAACTTTGTTCTTCCCCGACACTTACGGTGACCAGATAAGGCTCAGGATGTGGAGTGTACTCCAGATCACTAAGCCTAAGGATTAAGTGGTGAATGGGAAGAAATACCAGCGTGGTCCAAACAGAGCTGGCTGGTATCTCAATCGCCACGAAAGAAATAACCTAGAAAGGAATTTCTGGCAAAAACATAACAGGGTGTTACCTCAGGGCTAGTACTAGAGTGCCACCGAGATTTAGCCAAAGCCTCGTTAGATAATAACATTATCCTGAGGTGGGTTAAAGGGCACGGCAGGAGTAAAGGTAATCGCATTGCCGACCTTTCAGCCAAGGAAGCGGCTGGACTAAGAATTTTAGGACCCTGGGCGACCCTGGTAAGCTGGCGCCGAAAAAATATCTGGCGATGAACAGGAAAAATCTACGCTAACAGTAGGATTTCTAACTGGCCACTGTCAACTAAGGAAACACCTTCATGCAGGATGTGCAAACAGGAAGATGAGACTGTCAGGCATGTCCTATGCGAGTCCTAAGCGGTTTCTCCCAGTGACCTGTCCACCTTCCTGGGAAGGACAGGATGGACGATGACCTAGGAGGACAACTCCTCGGGAGGATGTAAAATGGGTCACATTTGGCCTAAGTGCTGTAGGCTTACCTTCAGCCTCCCTACTCTACAGATACAGATAGATGCTGACCAGATCTGCCGGCGTTTATGCTGATACTTGCGTTATTTGCTCGAGTTCTTTACTGAGACATACAAATACTTGATACGACAAAATTGAACCCCTGCACATTTTTTACAGAAAAATACCGATTTTCGAACATGTTTTCTTACCTAGTTAGTGCATCCGTCTGTTGTATATTATAAGCTATTTCTTGCTGTAACATCTGCCGTTTGACGTTGTCTATTTCTAACCTAGATTTAGCTAATTCCTTCATGATTTCCGATTTCTGGTTATCCAACTCTTCCATCATCTTCCTAGTTTTATCCAGTTCTTGGGTGAGGCTGTTCTTCTCCTGAAGGGCGTGCATCCTCTCCTTGAGGTGGTCCTGCAGTCTGTCGTTAGACTCTGACAGAAGTTTGTCGACTGTCGTCGAAAGGCGAGAATTATGGTCTTCATTCATTTTTAGTCTTTGGTTAAGGCGCAATAATTCAGCGTTTTTCTCGTCCAAGTTCGCTTCCAGCCTTTGGATTCGGTCTTCGGCCGATCCGTGCCTTTCTTGAGCCTAGAATATTCAACAAACTTACAGCATTTCTAGAAAATGTAGGTTGAGCCAAAAACCGTCTGTGAGCCGCGCGCATCCACGCGCAGAATATGAGAAATATAGTCGTTCTAAAGCACTATTGACTGATGGAAGTCGTTTATTTCTTTCATGTGAATATAAAGGGCATTAATCGTAACAATCGACAAACGTGGACATATCCTAACCTGGATTCAGCAATCAGACCAATTCCACATCATTGAGCAGATACCCATTCCAATATTTACTAGAGGATAATGTCGAAACGTTATCTGACGATCTACAGACTAATAGATTTGAGGAAGACGACAGTGATTTTGAAGGGGATTCAACACGTCCTGAGCGCTTTACTCAGGAAGAGCTAAGCGATCTTATTGGAGATTTGAACCTTCCAAAGGGTCTTCCGAGTTGCTTGCCTCCAGACTAGAGGAAAATAAACTTCTTCACCAAGGCACCAAAATTACATACTAGCGTAATAAAGAAAAAGATCTTTTGCCTTTTTTTTCTCAGCAAGATGATATGGTTTCTTGTAACAATATCAAAGGACTGCTAGAAAAAATTGGTGTATCGGAGTATACACCAGATCACTGGCGTCTTTTTACCGACAGTTCCAAACGAAGTTTAAAGTGTGTCCTTCTACATAATGGCAACAAATATGGAAGTATACCAATTGGGCATTCTACAAAACTGAAAGAAGAATATAAAACAATATCGCCGGTGATAAAAAACATCACGTATGACCAACATCTGTGTTGATTTTAAGATGGTGAAGTTTCTTCTGGGACAATAAGGTGGCTATACAAAATATCCTTGTTTCCTGTGTCTTTGGGATAGCGGGCTAAGGACCAACACTGGAGTAGAAGAAAATGGCGTTCTAGATTAGTTCAAGGAGAAGCTACCGTAGTTAACGATGCATTGGTCGACCGAGAGAAAATAATATTACCGTTACATATTAAACTAGGGCTGATGAAACAATTTGCAAAGGCCCTAGACCAGAATCGTCCTTGTTTTGAATACTTGTGCAGCAAATTCCTTGCACTTAGTAAAGAAAAATTGAAAGCCGGAATATTTGATGGGCCTCAGATACGACAACTTATAAAAGATTCGCATTTCACAGAATGGATGACTGAAATTGAGTGTAATGCATGGTGCTCTTTTGTGAAAGTTGTGGAACATTTTCCGGCAGCAAACTGTGTGTTTACCAGTGTAATTATAGAACTGGTGGAATATTTTGTAATAATATTCGAAATAAGTGGTTTTTCATCATTTTCACATACACAACCTCCTTGTATAACATCATTTAACCCCGTTTGAATTTTGGGGTTAGGTTCTATATAATGATTTGTAGTTTTTGTCTTGAAACTTACCATCAACTTGATTACCTGTAACTAAAAATTACTCGTCCTACAGCTATAGACTGTTGATCATGCATTCAACATCTATGACTATCTAGCACTACCAATCTAGAATTTTCAAATCAATATTTTACTTTTGAAGAATGAAATGAATGTGCATTTGAAAGAGGAAAATAACAATGATAATACTGATTCATGAGATGAAAAAGTAAATGGAATTTCTCAACAGAAAATGAATTATTAGTTGAAAACATTCGGCGTACAAAACTTCCCGACTACATGATTTATGCAACTTTTTTGGGTTTTGTCCATCAAATTGAAGGTGATATAAGCTGATTCAACTTGAAGAACACAACCAAAGTTGGCCAAATTATTATTGATTGTTAAGTCGATGTCACAACTCTCAACTATCAATATATTAGTTTATTTCAAACTCTCATGTATTCACTTTTTTATAAGCGAAAATATATTAGCTCAAGGCTCACTTGTGACTAAGTCACCTAAACACAAAAGTGTCCCAAAAATATGTAATTTCATTTGTATTCAATAATAATCCGCCCTTTCAAATCATTTTGTTAAAAAAAAATTGGAAAATAATTGTTATTCATAAACGCTTGCAAAACTCTGAAGAATGATCAACTTAATTGCTAAGGATTTACTTCTTGAAAATCCAATACAACTATTTCATCTTAAATTACTATTCGGACGGCAAAAGGATCACGGAATTTTAATCAAGAAAATTACATCCTTCTATATCCTAAATTCAAGTTCTTCATTTTATGAATTCAAAGTGAGTTCTGCCCCGATTTTCAAATAATTTCCAGGTGGAGAATAATTCCGCGGATGGTAATTTAGCATTTGGGAGTTTTAGTTTGTGGCAAGTTTGGTATCCGGCAAAACTTATTCCAAGTGTAAAATAGCATTCGCGAATGAATACGGATAAAGTTCGCTCAAAGTTTTCATTGAAACAGACAAGTCGACGGAGAAAAACATATTTAAGGGACACTGCATTACATCTAAAGCACAACATCTATGTTTTATTCAACACACTAAGTATGCCTGATTTCTACTTCTTCACTCGGATATTTGATGAGATCATTGTTGAAATAAGAGGAAAAGTGCAAGTATTGTTTGTTGATTTTTGTTTGCAGTAGTAAATGATTATTTGATTCTGTAAAGAATGGGCATATTTTTAAGGAGTATTGTTTTCCTTTTTTTTTTGTAGTGGAATATCAGTCATTTTTCAAAAAGAAATAGGATTTCGAAACTTTTAATATTCTTTTCTTGGTCTGTTCCTGACAATTCTTCAACAAAAATTGAAAATGATAATTTTTTTAAGCATAACAATATTACAACAGATTAATTCAGTTGAGCGACAGCACATTAAAAGTACAGTATTTTGTATGACCAGCAACAATAGTATGACAATGGTTTCTGAAAAGTTTTTTTACATATATTTATAATTACAGTGCATCAATACGTCATCAATATCTTCTAGCAGGAATGTGGTGTTATTATTTTCCACCCAAAAATGTTAGCTCACATTTGTTTTGGAAAATTGGTAATGAAAAGATTTATCCCTAGACGAATTGAGTTAAGCAAGTTAAATCTTTCATTTACTTTCCTGAAGATATTTACAGAAGAGAGAATTCCTCAACCTTTGTCTAAATCAGAAGATTTGTTGATGTCGAGTTGTTTCAGAATTTGCTGTAAACTTGTTAAAAATACAATGAAGGAGACAAACCAACACCGCTGTTGGTTTGTCTCCTTCAAACGGTTTTTGTACTTACAACCAATTCGACAAAGAGAAAAAACGCTCCAAATTTTTTTAACCACCAATCCGGCTCGAAGGACCAACATTATGTTTTGTAATGAATATGATGAACTCAAACACTGGATATACACCAAATAATAACTCAGTGGGACCAAGTGGGACCACTTTGAAAGGTTACAGTGAATGATTAGGTGCTATCTAAGTTGTAGACGAATGAACTGAATCATTCAATATTTCAGAGCATCAAACATCAACAAAAGACACTTACACCGGGGTAACATTTAGGGGATTCACGCCAAACGAGAATTGAGGTGTTGAAATCGATTTCTGAAGCTTAGAATCGGTTTGGCGTGAATGGCCAAAGGAAGAACTACTACGAGTATGTGGTTTCTTACAAGTTAAAAATGGAAGTGTGCTATTAGAGAATTAGAGGTAACATCGAATAGTAACGAAGTGAGCTGAGAGCCTCGTACCTGCGGTCTCACCTGTGTCAGCGCCTCCATGCGTTGCTTAAGCTGTTCTTCTATCTCCGGGAGCTTGGAGTATTGAGCCAGTTTCTGCTCCGCCAGTTCCAGCTTCTCCTGGATCGCCCCTATCTTCTCTTCGTGCAACTGAAAGTCACGAATGAGGTTATATGCCACAGTAACTAATACACTCTGCGTTTTTGTTTCAACTGCCATTCCGAATTGTTTCACATTGAACGTTTGCCTTTCAGAGATGAACCATGCATGGTTAAAACATATGGAATAGTGGGTATTTTGTGTACACTAAAACTGTATTCATGTAATTCTTGTCACTTATTCGCAGAGCAGTCGTTCAAAGTCTCTAGAGAGCTTTAACTTCCGAGTATAAACGAGTCAATACGAGTATATCCAGCTGGGGTTGAATCAGGATAGAAAGATGTAAATAATATTACTGTTGAACAAATGTTTGTTTTAAACGATAGTGGTCCTCAAAATTGGTCTAGGGATTCCAGAACATTTGATCATTCGAAATTCATTCGTTACAAACGAAATTCAAATAGTTCAAAACTATTCGACCTATGTTCACAGACAAAATTACCGTTATTGGAATTGACACCAACCGTCACGATTTCCGGGAAACACATACCCAATATCCATAAAAAATTAACGTTCGGGCAGGAATATTGGAAAATCATATTGTAGGACCTCTATTCATTGATCAAAATTCAACAGGGGAACTGTATTTGAATATGCTGGAAACTACTGTTGACCCTTTCATCACTGAAATCGTCGAAGCGAATCCTAATGAATTCTTTATGGATATTGTGTTCCAACAAGATAGAGCACCTACACTACTCCAGACAAGTAAGAAACTATTTAAATACTACTTTTCCTGGTCGTTGGATTGGCCCTCGAGGTCCTACAGAATGGCCAGCCCGCTCGCCAGATTTGACACCTTTGGACTTTTTTATGGGGCTATTTGAAGTAAGAGGTGTATGAAACTGAACCTGCTTCAATATTGGATATACGGATATACATTTTTTTTTGCCAATGTTTCGCCTGAATATTCTTATTTAGTGAACATTCTTTAAAATTTGATTTTCGATGAGAATAAATAACAACTAAAAAAGATATGGGACTGACAAAATCAAAACACAATGAATTGTTTTGAATATGGCTTCTGAATTTACTTCACTTCCTATTAAGATTGAGTTATGAGTATGGGTACTTTTTTAAAGTGAACGGACAAAACTTATTATTCTCAATTCGAATGTTTCGGATTTTTATGATTTATACATTTTAAATGATCACAAGTTTTGCAAGCCGATTTCAAAAAATGTGACAGTAGGTATGGAACTCACTAAACATTTCAAGTCCCCCTCAGTGATACAAATTGTGTCACAGTAATATAATCAACCCTATTTTCACATTTTACCCCCAGCTGGATATCTTGATTACCTACTCTAATAGAAGGATTGATTTTGAACGACCTCACAGTATATTCATTAACAACTTGAACTCAACCGGAACTACAACGACATTTTTTCAAACGATCACAATTATTCGAATATCATGCAAGACAAACTAGTTGCATATTTGATGCAGTTATCACTGAAAGCAGTTACCCGAAGTTATTACTTTCCCAACTTGTTTTTAGTGAGTGTGACCAATTAAATGAATATGGCCAAAGGTTAATGGGAATGCATTCAATACGGTTCTATTTATATTATCATTATCAAGATCAAATGTTTGGAAACTATTTTGAATAATAACTCAAACAGTAGAAGTAAATAAACCTTGAGTAATCAATCCTGTCTCTGGATTTTGAATCAACTTTATCTGATCATTCCTATTGAGCAAGTTAATAATAAATGTAACCAGCGAATGAATCAGAATGTGGGTATAGACTTGCTGCAGCCAATTTATATGAATTACAAACATTTTTGTAGGTGTACGAGAAAATATTTGACACCAAATGGTTTCATGCGAAATAATGAAAATCAGTAATTATAATTTCTTGGGAATTATTTTTTCAGACAACTGCAAACTTGTAAAATAATGGTATCACCTCTCAATCTCGTAATCTATTCATCAATGTCTGATATAGAATTGAAAATTAATATCTAGAATTAAACTTGAACATTCACCTCTCCCAATGTTCCTACACAGTGGGAAAATGGAAAATGCCTGTCGGAAACACCTACTTTCCTGACATTAAATTATCTCCGACAGACATTTGGTGAAAATTACTTCACAGAAGCAATCCTTGCAGATGCTCCTGATTCGTCCAGCAGCAGGACCTCGCTGAAGTCAGTCAAGTGATCATCTGCAGACCGGTTTCTAAGTGTTACTCCTCGTCAGTGCAGGACAGATCCAACCAAGACAGCAGCGTGTACGCATGTATGAGTTATGATGAAATCAGTCTACTCCCGGACACATTGTTTTTTTTTCGGTTGAATCTGTTCTGAATCGACGAGAAGACATACTCGATTGATTCCAGTTAGGTCCTGCTGCGGGACGAACGAGAGGCATCTAAACAATTTAATACTAAAATTACCTTATCATACCTACTGTTAAAAGCCAAAAACACTTTTTCTCTTTTGCGTTTAAAATCAACATATGCTTTATCTACATAAAGTGGGGCGCCCGCTAGCCGCGCAAACTTACTCAAAATGAATCATGTTATGAAGGTAGTTGTCAAAATAGTGAACTTTATCAAGTCGAAAGGTTTGAACCACCGTCAGTTTCAAGAATTTCTTGAATCCTTCGACTCAGAATATGGTGATGTTTTGTTTTATGCAGAACTAAGATGGCTGACCCATGCTAAAATGTTGAAAAGAGTTTTTGATATGAGGCTAGAAATACAATCATTTTCTGAAAGCAAATCCAGGAGTATTTCCGAGTTTCAAGACGGAGAGTTCCTTGCCGGGTTATTTGCAAATGGAATGTTGTGAAATGCAATGTGATGCACAGCTAAAAGAGAAATTCAATCAGGTTGGTTTGGAAGAAGTCTATAAAAATTATTTTGATAAAGAGAAATATCCTGCTTTTTACATTTACATGATTTCATTATTTGGTAACACAAGTGTGAACAACTTTTCAGTAGAATGAAGCATATTAAATCTCAAATGAGAACACGGATGCTCATCTTGAAAATTGTTTGCGGATAGCAGGTAGCATCAGTCGAAGTTGACATTGATCAGCTTAGCTCTGATAAACAAAGTCAGATATCCCATTAATTTACTATTTAGTTACCTAACAGAATTATGCAGAATTAAAATGTGTAACTTAAAATACATTTTGTTCCCAAGAAATTTGTTCAATTGAAAAAAAACCAAATATAATGTTTTTTTTTTTTGTGCGCTGCTTAGTTGGAGTGCGTGTCAGATAACTCTGCGCGTGACTGGAGTGTTATCTTTGCTAGTTGCAGTACATTTTTTTGTTCTAAGCTCTAAGTTCTAACAGGAAAAAATTTGTATCCGATTTTGACTGGGCGCAGACTTATCTGGCGCGCACCATACATAAAATTTGGTAGTGCGGTCCAGGGTAAAATTCTACTTCCGAATTTTGGCCCAAGTGCCGAAAAGGTTGGCCACCCTTGATCTGAATAGAAAGCTTAGCTCGGAGTTTTCAAATATTTTTTGAATACATTAACATTCCAAAATTCCAATAGATTATTCTGTTCGTTAACTGAAATCGTGACCTGGTTTCGTTTTGGTAATTGTATCAAGTTACGACCGCACCTTATTGAACTTTATAATGAAGGTACAAGTAATTCTAGATCTTTGCATGTAAATCCATCTCGAATTGTTATCGGGGGGCGTAGCTCAGATGGTAGAGCGCTCGCTTAGCATGCGAGAGGTACCGGGATCGATGCCCGGCGCCTCCATAATTTTTTAGACGCCTATCCCAGAATTTTGAAATTTTTCTTTTTTTTTCAATAAACTATAATATTCAACTATAACTTCCGATATATGCCCCTTAGTAATTTGTTTTTCAATTTCTGAATTGAGATGATAACTATCATCGCCGACAAATGACCTCGTTTTGTTTTGGTAATTATATCAAGTTGCAGCCACACCTATCTTGGATTTCATCGAACGTGAATGCTTTTATTTCTTGAACATTGCCAATTCTTTTGAATTCATCATCAGGGGGCGTAGCTCAGATGGTAGAGCGCTCGCTTAGCATGCGAGAGGTACCGGGATCGATGCCCGGCGCCTCCACTTTATATTTTTTTGTGGAATATAGGAGACATTGTGTCCATTTATCCAAACTTTTTTTTGCCCAGAAGAAAATTCATCGCGAAACTTGATAAATATCGAAACAACAGTAAAAAAAGTTGTTGGACATTTCCAGTGTCTTTTCTTTGTTGTGGCTTTCCACAACAAACTGTTTCTCTTGACTAACTTCATCCAATTCCAGTTAATTTATCTAAAAAACGATGTCGGCAGTTGGTACAGATATGCAGTATGTTCCACTGGAAGATTCACTGGAAGAAGTACAAGTTCCAACCTCTCAAACCCTCCTTTCTCACTTCAGCTCTTGACTTTCTGTTGAAGCCATTTGTAAGCAAACTTCACCACCCTCAACACTTGTTATCCTTCTCGAAATGCAACTCATCATCAACCAGGTTTTGTGTTCAACTAGATAAACACAGATCCTAAAGACAAAGTATTCGTTTTCCAACCTTGACTTTGCCGTGCTTCGTCTATTTTTGACATTTTTGGATTCGGTCGATCCCATTTGCAATACAATGTTTGTTTCGGAAGATGACATCGCTATTACTAACTCAGGCTTGTCAGCCCAGCAACACTTTTGTGATTCAGCCTAGCACCATTGAATATTCTCATGGTGGATTCTGGTTTCATCCAGTTTCCTTGAAGTGAAAGACAGAGGGCCTTTGTTCGGAGGTCGATATTGAAGCTTGACTATTCTATCCACTTCATAAGTAGTGGCATCTTCGTAAGAGAATGTCATCGCCTTTACTTATTAGTTTTTAATGTCTGTATATGTTTTTACTATTGGATATTTTCCTGCTAACCAATCCAACACCTCTTGTCAATGATCTGTTTTTTCACTCCCTGAAAATTTGAATTTTTGGCACTAAACACCGTTAGACTTAGTATTTTGGGTAGAACTGAAAGCATTGAAGTAGAATTGATCCAAAACAAGGTCTGTTCTCTAACACTAGAACTGCAACACTCTTCTCGAGGCGCGTTTCACCAACTAAGTTGGCGTCCTCAGGAAATTACTTGATCTCCTGAAGAAGCTAGTTGGGAACAGTGCTTGTTTCTGAATCTACTGTAAAATCCGTGACTCACCTTTATTTGAGCTTCTTTGTGTTGCAACTCCTGCTCCAGCTTCTCGTTCAGGTCGTGCAACGAAGTGGATTCGCGCTGAGCGTTCAAATACCTCTTCTCCAACGTGGCTATTCTCTCCTCCTGATCCTCCTTCTGGGCCACGTTCTCCCTGAGGTCACGCTGTAGCTTCGAATTGACTTCTTGTGCTTTCAGCAGTTCCTTTTGTGCTTTGGCTAAGTTCTCTTCCAATTCGCCTACCCTGTTCTGCATCTCCGCTACGCGACGCTGCCACGTACTTATTTCTCCAGTCTGCGGAAATAGATCCTTTAGTCATTACGAAAGCAATAACAAAACAAAACAAAAACAAAACAATAGCAAAATGGAGAAGGGCAACTTCTTCATTCGATATACAATGAAATACTTCAAAATTATTGTCTAGGTGAAAATGCACCAAATTACGATCATGCTCTAACAAATTACATCTATGTAACAAATATTCAAATCGGGTTCATGACAATTTTCCAACAATTCATTTGAAAATGATTGAAATTTGGAAAGCTCCACTATTTTTACTGTCTTAGAATAGAAAAATAGAAACCACAGTTATTCAATTTTGAATGTGAAATCCTTCAAAAAAATCTGAACTCTTGTTAAACTAAATAGAGTGAACATCAATTTGTTTTGTGTTGTCACATTTTATTGTAGAACAGAAACTCTTAGTAATAAAGAATTGATGTTTCCTCAAACCTATTTTTTTTCTCACTCATTACATAAAATTTCGATATAGTTTTCCTACATAGGCTCAGTGACCGCCAAAAGACCACCATAAAACATTTTTTTATTTTCGATTGTTCGTTTTTGTAAAACATAAATCCATTCAAGTTGTAACGTATTTATGGAGTTGCACAAGTACTGCAAGAAGACTCTCTTCTCTTGAAAGAAGTGCATCGTGCACTTCTTTCAATTTATGGGCAGTTTCGTCGGCCTACTGAGGGAGCTATTCGGAAGATTATGACTGAATTTCGAACCCAGTTTACAGTATTGGACATTAAACCACCAACACGCATACGTAGAGTGAGGACCGAAGAAAATATTGCGGCTGTATTCGCCAGTGTTCATTACGACCGTGAAATGTCGATTCGCCGCCGTTCGCAGCAATTGGGCCTCTGTTACTCCACTACGCGGAAAATTTTGCGAAAGGATTTGGATGTAAAACCTTATAAGATACAGCTGGTGCAAGAATTGAAGCCTCACGACCTCACACAACGTCTAACATTTGGTGAATGGGCGCTGGGAAAGTTGGAGCAAGATCCACATTTTTATCGAAAAATTGTGTTCAGCGACCAGACTCATTTCTGGTTGAATGGAGACGTTAACAAGCAAAATTGCCGCATCTGGAGTGAATACCAGTAACAAGCAATTGCAAGAGCTACCGATGCATCCCGAAAAAATCACTGTTTGGTGTGGATTATGGGTCGGTGGCATCATCGGGCCGTACTTCTTCAAAGACAACAATGTCCGGAACGTTACTGTGAATGGCGAGCGCTACTGTGTGATGATTGACGACTTTTTGTTGCCCAAAATAGAAGAATTGGACATGTCTGACATGTGGTTTCAACAAGACGGTGCCACATGGCAAGCGAAACAATGGCCCAATTAAGAACCGCCTTCGGTGAACAGTTTGGGGCCCGTCAATTGGCCGCCTAAATCGTGTGATTTACCGCCTTTGGATTATTTCTTGTGATGTCATGTTAAGGCTCATGTCTACAGGGATAAACCAGCAACGACTGACGCTGTGGAAGCCAATATTGAAGCATTTATACGTGAAATACCGGTCGATATGTTAGAGAGAGTATGCCAAAATTGGACCTTGCGCATGGGCCATATAAAGCGGAGCCGCGGATAACATTTCCATGAAATCATCTTCAAACATTAAATTATATTGATCGTTTTATCGATTCCAATAAATATTTCATAACTTTTTTCAATTTTTTTGTGTTGAAAATCAAATCCTATACCCCCTAAAAAATCACCCGTTACAATGTACATATAATGTAGCTACCATAAGTCAATTGTTACTTTTGTAGTACATACGCAAAATTAGTATCACTCTTTTTAAGACACGTTTCACTCAATAAAAGAATATTACGTTCCTGCTGATTAAATTTTTATACACAGTATTTAACAGTATATGTCTAACGCACATCAAACACTGAGCGTCTGTCCGACGAGAGAGGAGGAGCCTTCCTTCCGCTGACGTATGCGCAAGAGAAAAGGAAGCCTGACAAACTGGCGCCGTTACGCGTTAGGTAACGAAACCGTTAACCCTCCCATAAGAAGTGATCACTTCAAAAATTAAATTTCAAGCAATTTCGTATACGTCGCGACTTTTTTGGCGGTCACTGACCAACAATTAGTAATGGTATTCTAGTTCGTGTTGATTTTTGCAATGAAGCTCTATTCACGTTCCCAGTAGGGTGTACACAACAAAGTTTGTGATTGAATGAAGAAAGACTGTCAAAAATAACTCACTTGCTGCTCGAGCGCCACCTGTAGGTCGGCTATCCTAGCTGCGCTGTCGGTGTCCGATTCCATGCCTCCATTGGTGAGACGAGGCTTCGGAGATGCCTATATGCCCACAACAACATGCCACATCACAACATCTATTATAAACATGCCTTTTAAAAATACACTTTGTTCATTATACAAAAGTTATCACCGAAGTAGGAATAATCAGAGAGATAGAAGTGAAGCGGCTTTGGAAATCCAGAGTACTGACTGAATGAAAACGCCAGATAAATATCCAACTTATATAGTTACACGTAAAAATATCAATATATTGTGCTTCCTGTACCTTTGAAGTAAATATACTTTATAGTCTAATCAACAAGTTCAAAAACATGAAAAGTAGAGAAAAAGGTCCTAAAAATATGAGCGATAGCTCATTCGATTCGGAATCACATCTAGATTTTGGTGCAGGTAAAAATTTGCAATTGTTATTAATAAAATAAGATTAAAAAAAGGTATTTAGTTTTTCGTTAATAACTCAAAAAATATTAATATTTAAGCAATTTTGAGAAAATCTCGTTAATGGGGTGGAAATTTCCGATAAAAAAGTCCTGACTCTTGAAACTCTATCGCTATTATTTATAATTTTAATTTGATATTGAAAAAGTCATTTTAAAAATTTGAAAAAATCTAAGTTTTATCACCATTTTTCAAAAAGTTATTCAATTGTTAACTAAATAGTTTTGTCCCACTCTCCGTTGGCATAAATAATGGGATGAAAGGTATAAATAATAAATAATTGGCCTATAAATTTTAAACTTCATGGAGCCCTTTTGATATATATATATACTTCATATGATCCTGCGATAAAAGGATTGTTAATTATGATTTTTTATAACTATTGCAAAATAAAATATCTAAAAATTGTTGATTAAACATTTTTTTTCAATTGATATTTAGCTGTCTGTTTTCACATTAAACAATGGCAGTTATTAACATAGGATATGAATTTTTTACGTAATTTATTTATTAAATTGTTTCAAACAAATAGAGAAATTCAATATTTTTGAATTTTTTTTGCTATTTTGTTGTCTAGAGATAATTATGATTGAAATTTTTTTTTCTTAATTTAAATTTTTAATTGTTTAAAGTTAATTAGTTAGGAAATAATTTTGCTTTTAAAAATCATGATTTACACTTTTAAATAGATTGGCAATAAAGATATTTATTATTTAATTGTTTATTAGTTTTCAACGTCAAATTAGAATTATAAATAATGGAGATAGAGTTTCGGAAGGCAGGACTTTTTATCGAAAATTTCCTCCTCTTTAACGAGCTTTTTTCAAAATTGCTTAAATATTAATATTTTTTGAGTTACAAACGAAAAACTAAATACCATTTTTTTTGTTAATAACAATTACAATTTTTTACCTGCACCAAAATCCTTCAAAAACTATTAAAAAAATGCTTGGATAAGTTGATTAACATTTAAAAATCTGCCGTTTGGTCACACAATTTTCATCACCCTCCCATTCATCCTCGAGGGATGGCGACTTATGTTAAAGTACCTTTTGTAATAAGTCAATTGATATCTTTTTATATTAGCTACAACAAAAAAAGTTTGTCGAAATCAGTAACAGACACATTTGAACCAACATTTTGAAAAAAATCTAATGCCAATTGCGAAGGTTTTAATTTGATAAGCCAAAAAATGACGACAAAAGCTACAGCAAAACACAACCGTTAGTGAAAAGAAAGCATGAAAGATTCAGAATTGATTTTGAAAAGGAAACTCCACACCACACAATATAGAAAGAAGATACAATTAAATTGAAAATCGACATCAAAAACGCCAAAGCTCACTGAGACACCGTGCTGAAACCACGTTAAGAGTGAAAAAGAAAAAGTTATGAATTTACCTTATTGTTAATATTAATTACTTGGTCCCCTATATCCACTTGTCCATTTTCTTTGGGTTTATCTTCTACGGCAGGTACATTAGAGGGCGTGACCCCTTGTTTGAATTGTTGTAACTGTAAAAAATATTTCCATTGAAAGATAACATTTTCGAATTCCTTCTGCGAAATTTTTCAGTTTTCCGGTGTTCCTCTCATCGATGTTTTTTTAAAATTCAATAGTGTTCATATTTGATTGTACAAGACATTCAATTATGAAGCCAAACTGTGAAACCTAGTCATCATTGATTGTAATTACCGACAAATCAAATGCTATGTCAGATTTAGAGGGTGGTCTGAAAAGTTCCCGACCAAACGAAGATACAAAACTTTTTTCAGATTTTTTAAATTTTTCAATATAGTCTTCTTTTGACTCTACATACTTCTCCCAGCGATGCTCCCATCTGTGTAAGTCGTCCAAATACTACTCGGAAATATAAAGGATAAAAAAGAAGTCGCTTGGGGCTAGATCCGGTGAGTAAGGCGAATGGCCAAGCAGTTCAAACCGTAATTCGTAGATTTTCGTCATGGCCACCGCTGCGGAAGGTTGTCTTGGTGCCACAGGATTTTCTTTTTCTGCAAATGTGGCCGTTTTTCGCAAATTCTGCCCTTCAGCTTGGCAAGTGATGATGCATAGTATGCTCCTATAATGGTTTTTAATTTCTGAAGATAATTGAATAAAAATAAGTCCATGCCTATGCCAAAAAACAGTCGCCACCGCTTTCCCAGCGGAAAAAACAATTTTTGCTTTTATTTTTGAGCCGGTTCCCCCTTTGCAGTCCACTGGTTGGACTGTTATTTTGTTTCGAGCGTATAATGGTGTATCCAAATTGCATCTACAGTAATTGTGATCGGAGCCAAAACTCGATTTGCTACGCCCATACTCCACCAACAGAGCGTTGGAAATGTTCATTCAAACACGTTTTTATTCTAACGTGAGCAAACGCGGCACTCAACGCGTGGATAGCTGGCTACATATTGATTTGATATGTGACAAATACGTTCTTTTGACATGTTCATAACCTCTGCTATCTCTCTCACTTCAATTCGACGGTCGTCTAGCACTATTTGGTGAACTTTGACGACGTTAATGTCGGTAGTTGCAGTTTTTGGACGTCCCGAACGTTCATCGTCTCCCAAGCTCTTACGGCCACGTTTGAATTCAGCTGCACAAAATTTCACTGTGATAAATGTTCCTGCACAGCCCCCATACACAGAATTCAACTCAACTTTGATTTGCATAGGCGTATTGCCTTTTAAAAACAAATATTTATTGACAGCTCGGTACTCGATTTTTTCCATTTTCACAAAAACACTCGCGTAAACTCACTCAAACGGTTGTTACATAACAACTGCGCGTCCAAAATGGCTGAAACTTTGGTGAGTAACGGTCAACATATGAACAACGGAATTCACTAGCTTTCATTCGACAAGCTGAGGAGTGAAATTGTAACAAAAATGACTTGTACAATTCCAAATGATAAGAATAAACAGTAAAGAACAGTAGCCCCAACATTGAACCCTGGAGCACTCCTAAGTGAAGGTCCAAAGATTTCGATCACTCAGTTTTATTACAGACTCTTTGTTACCTATTATTCGGATAGTTTATGAATAATTCTATAATTTCCTGACACACCATCATAATAAAATACGAGTAGTAGATCATGGTCTTACTGTCGACAGGACAAGAACTGGAGAGGAAACCTGTAGCTCTAAGAATGTCATCTACAATGTAACCTTCCAAAAATTTTCGATAATTCACTTTCGTGACATCACTCACCTCTTCTTTGGTTGTAGCTAATTCTTCTTCTAAACTTGAATTTCTTTCTAATGCTACCCTCAGTCTTTCTCGGACCTGAAACAATATCCAAAATTGAGCTTTTAAATAGCAAATGAATATTTAACAAGATCTTTTTAAAATCGCACGATAATAATGATTACATCATAATATTTAGATTAGTATAAGTTACGGAACATCGTAATTTTCCCAGTCGCACTGAATCGTCTGTGATGCAAAGTTGGTGATAATATAAAAGAGATCTTTATTTTGCTCGAAATATAAATATTCCGCCAAAGTGTTTTTAATCATATTAAAAAACGGGAAGACATTCATTCGCCCCTTGAACCGTTAGCATTTGATTGACTTTCAAAGAAAACCCTAGCAATTTTATTTTCAATTATCTTCTACTCTTTCAGCGTTCATTAGATGAGGGGACATTTATTGAGAATGGAATTTTTCAAGAATTCCCTTCAGAAAATGACAAAATTGAGTGTTACAAGGATGAAAAGTTATTGTATCTCGATAAAAATCTGATTTTCCTTCAAAAACTGACTTTCGTTCAAATCAAAATAGTTTATTAGTTTGTCGGTTTCAGCAGGGCCTTCCTTACCTTTTCGTCCAGTGCTTTGTGATGCTCGAACAAACTCTTGAGTGCCTTCAAAACTTCCACCTCGCTGGAAACACCGGATTGGGCGGCCGCTTGACGTTTCACGACCGTCATCCTCAAGGACCTCTCGTGTCTCGAAACGAGACATTCTAGATGCTCTAACAATAACTGCAACAATAATAATGAATCAGAAAATTTGTTTCGGCATTAGCCACTATACATTTTATTTCAATATCTGCAGCACCAAATTGATAATTTCTGATTGGGTGTGCTTCACGGGGAAGAATTCATTAAAAAGTCATTTACTAATTGTGAATAACCCTGAACAATTCCCATAATAACCCATAATATTTATTCCATAATCATGTTCAACTATTCGAAAATCAATATATTTAGCTGCCCAAAATCACGACATCTAGTGCCTGTTTCATTCACCCAAATAGTTTGTCAGTACTTCACAGGGATGGTCATTCCATTTGGAACGGAGGTGAAATGACTTGGCATTGTCCTAGATAAAAGACTCACCTGGAACACTCACTTGGAAATAGTTTTACACAAAGCCAGACTGTCTCTATGAACATGTCGAAGGATTTGTGGTAAAACTTGGGGTTTAGGCCCCAAACAAATCCATTGGATTTATGTGACGATTGTCAGACCAATGCACTTATGGTGCAATTGCTTGGTGGCCGAAGGCTTTATGAAACTGCAGAGCATATACTTTGTGCCTGCCCCGCTGGGGACCGAATCAGGTTCTTTGAGTTCGACAGATCCGTTCTCTCACCATCTGACCTGAAAGACAACTCACCATACAAACTAATCGGCTTCGTTAAGAAGTTGGATTTATTTGGCCGAGTGTGAATAGGTGTACACCACAATAAGCCCTTATGGGTTGCGGTGGAGGGTCGAATAGACCTACTCACTTTAGACCTACCTACTTCACAGGTTGTACAAGAAAAGGTGAACTATAGAGGCAAACGGTAATCGCCGGACGGTTAACATACTTTACAAAATTTTGTGCACATAAGTCGCTATGGAAACACTGCGAATTCATAACAAACAAACAAGTTCCTGGAGGATCTAAAGGCCCAACTATCAGCCAAGTAGAAACAAAAAACAAAAATTCAAAATATCATCATTCAGTAAGGAACACAGAACATAAAATTGCTCTATGCGAGCTATGCATGAATTTTTATAATGATATTTTCCTGTCGACTTCTTTTGTCACCTCTTGCCAATAGAGGGCTCTCTTTTTGGGAAAGAAAGCCTTCGATAAAATAGACCATTACGTTCTTCTCAGCAAACCGACAAAATTGGGACTCTCTAACCAACTGCTGACTCTAATTGAATCATATCTAGTTATCAGAAAACAATTCGTCGAATATGAATCTTATGATGTACTGTTTGGAACCTTTGGTGTAGTAATGAATATTACTGGAGTTTTTTTTCCCAACACCAAATCGTTATATTTACACCTCGACACGTGTTTCGATCACCAAGTGATCATCTTCAAGAGGAAGATAAAACTAGAAACTTCTCAAAACTAAAGCTATTTATGCTATTCAGGTAGGTACATCATACAGGTAGGTAATCAGTAATACCACCCATACAAGTGTACCACCCTGAATTAATTTTACAATTGGCCTTTCTATTATTTTACAATATGTCCTTATGTATGTTTTCAGCTATATATAGAACAATTTTCAGCTATATAAAGTTAGTTTCACAATATTGCGTATCTAAATATATTTACAATGTGTCTTTTTGTAGTAATCAGTAAACCCAACAATATTATTTCAACAAGCTATATAGTATGCTATTTGGTATTGGTCCGTTATCGTTATTCATAATATTATTATGTTTACTTATTTCCACACTCTCATAGGCATCTAGTTGCCTGTTGTTATTAACTTGTCTAACTAATCTTAAAGAACTGAAGTCTATGGAATGGTTTTGTTGCAAAATATGATGGGCCACTGCTGATTTTTCAGGTCTTCCATATTTTAAGTGTGCTATGTGTTCCTTATATCTCACTTCAATAGATCTTTTTGTCTGTCCATAATATTTTGCATCGCAGTCCTTACATTCAATTTCGTAAATTCCAGACTTTTCCGAATTCTCGACTTTGTCTTTTGGACTTCCCAAAAGGTTCTGCAGTGTATGACTTGTTTTAAAAACCACCTTCATACCTAGTTCCTTGAAAATCTTTCCAAAGTTCTTCGTATTTTGGTGGTATGGAACTAAGATGTATTTATCTTGGTTTTTGTACTTTCTGAAAGTCGAGATTTCGTTCATTCTTAACCTAAACTTCTTTTTCCTAATTATGTCATCTACAATACCCCTCGGGAAACCGTTAGTGGCTGCTATTTCCTGTATTGTACAGGAAATAGCAGCCAGTTTAACCCGCTTTTTTTGTCTTGTCGAGACATGACTTTTCAAGACAAACGTTTTCTTTGTCTCGTCCGAGATGAGAGACGAGAGGAGAGTCTCATGTCTCAGTGAGAAGGTAAAATCAGTTTTTGCCCAAGAACTATTTTGACTCTTGCCTTTGTTATCCATCATATAACACCAAGAACTGCACATCTAATCAGCTTTTTGTTTCCTTCTCAATCACCGCTCGTCTAAAATCAAAAATGTCGTAACCGTGCGCCTCCTTTCAATTCATCGCGCCAAACCTCTAGGTTTTATGTCTTTCCTCCATAAAAATTGAATCGTCTCTGCGGCAGCTTGAAATGACCGTGACTCTATGTCCTCTCTTTTACTCAACATCCCCCTGTCGGCCATAAACGTCGCATGAATCATGCAGTGGATATTATAGTAAAAGCCCGGCGATTGATTCGACCGCGCCATCTATCTCAATCCATCATGTTTTCGAAGGTTGAATCGAATCCCCTGTCGCTTCCATTTTGTTCGAACACTTATGTACTACTACGCAGTTCGAGGATTCCTTTCACGGGAGTTTTTTCTGTTTTAGATTCATCAACGAGCGGGCGGGACTGCTGTATGAATGTGGACAAAGTGCAAGTTCCTTTCATGATCTGTCCTTGACACATGGAATGGAAATCCCAACTCGCAACCCAACTTCAAACGTGGTTGTAGAGACACCGATAATGCAGAACGCAGTAGACGTCTCAATGAGACAGTAAACCAGAAAACATAAAAGAAAACACAAAATCGTTTTGAATGATCAAAAAGTGGAGTGGCGTGAGTTAGCTGACATTATAAAGATATGTTTATACATGTTTGAACATAACAAACCGGAAATTTTACGTTGATATGTGACAATGGATGAAACATAGATCCATTACTTCACTCCGGAATAAAAACGATCGTCATCTGAGCCGGGAGCAACTGGTGCACCTCGTCCAAAGCGTTCGAAAGTACAACGATCGGCTAGAAAGGTTATATCTTGGTATTTTGGGATATGCGAGATGCAATATTCAGCCACTATTTCGAAGAAGGAAATACCCGCAACGCTGTATAATACATAGCATTAGTGGAACGTTTGAAGGCCGAAATTGAAAATAAATGACCGCATATGACAAAGAAAAAAATGTTTCATCAAGATAAAGCATTGTGTCACAAGTCAATCAAAACAATGGCAAAACTATATAAATTGAAATTCAAATTGCTCCCACATCCACCGTATTCGCCAGATTTGGCTCCCAGCGACTACTGGCTGTTCGCAGACCTCAAACAAATGCTCACCGTTAAGAAATTTCGCTAGAATGAAGAGAATGAACAATTGCTTGGCTTTTGATAGAGGTTACGGCGATGAATGAAAACAATCTCAAACAAAAAATGCGTTTTCTTTCTTAAACTGGTTTCTTCTATAAAACATCAATACTTAGCACGTTCTGAAAATATCTCTTCTTAAAATCGAGAATTCTTCCGTTAATATTCATACAAGCAGTTTGTTCGTAGAAGGCATAAGATGAAATTCAAAGTTGTCAGTTGTCAAAGCGCAGAACGCGAAATTGGCTGAACAGTTCAAATATTGTGTTCTGTACTTCGAAGTTTTGTGATTAGTGGAGTACATTGTTTCCATTTCAATGTCATTTATCTAAGAACGCACTAAAGCATAACAAAAACCATTTTATGTGGATTTCATGTAAATATATCAGTGTTTGTTTTCAATTTCATTTAAAATAAGATCTATTTTTACTTGTCGTTCACGTGTTAGTTCTGTTCTGTCAGTTTCAGATGCAATAAAATAATATGTTTGTTGTGGTTCTGAAATGTACTGTCCTAGACTCTCAGGCGTAAGCACAGTTTTCTAGAACTGATCCGGTTTTTCTTGGACTGCAAAAACCATGAAGCATTGAAAACAAATGAATTAAATCTACGATTCAGGAGACCGTCTTTGACTGAAATTGACCTTGGAAATACAAAATTGAGGAATATGCTTTAAGTTCGGTTTACAAATGATCGGTAAAGTAGATTACTAATGGTTTGATAATAATCACAAACTTTTCCATTATTGATGTTTCCAATACTCTAAATAATGATTTTGTATCGCAATGAAAATGTAATTATATAATCTCAATTTAATTTTGATACGGCATATGAGTTATATCACCAACTCACAGTTGCAGTTAACAAAACACAAAAAAGACATTTCCGTCACCTCCAACGACTACCCGGTAAATCTGTCGGAATAATTCAGAACCCTTCGCATAATGCATTCCCATTTTTACTAAGAACGAAGGAGCGCATACCCCACACTTCATAAATAATGATCATAACCATCGTAGAAAGCATCCGAAAATCTTCATCCATCTCTGTCAGGAGTGATGCACAGAATGAATAATTCTTCTTCTCAATAATTAAACAGCAGCGATCCTTCGAAAGAACATACTTGATAGTTCCATTTATCAGGAACTGGAAGAGAGTTTTCTGAAATGTTTGTTACGAGATTCGGAGAGGACAGGCAACAAAAAAGTACCTTTATTTTTACTGGCAGAGATTGAAGCGCGTACGAGAGAACATCCATACAGAATTGAATAATCGATCTTGTTTAATTCGCGGTAGTTTCGGTGCGGCACATCACTGAAAGCAATCGTAAGTAGGTATGTTGTTCAATCTACAACAGTCGACGTCAACAGTATGAATCCGTGAATGTCAGACTCCGTTATAATCTTTATTTTACTACTACACTGGCAATACAATAC